TTTGAAGAGGCAAGCTGAGAAAGGTGTGTTTAACTCATCTCCTGCCTGTGCTTGGCTTTGCAGCAACATGGTGTGAACATGTAGGTGAGATAGACAAACTCCTTTGTGCTCCATCGCTTGTCTGAGAAACAGACCTAATCCCTGCTTGGTGTTTTTTCCTTCAAGTTGTCCTGTAGATTGATTTGAAACCATCAAAATGAAGTGCAAGGAGCTGAATGTGCGAGAACCAAGATGCTGTCTGAGGTCACTGAATGTGTGAAGAAAGCAGCTTCAGCTCTTGTTGGAACAACTTCTTGAAGGGAAGGAGAGCTTCAGTTTCTCAGTAGCACAGTTCTGAGCACGTAGCTGGAGGCGAGCAGTGGTGACAAATGGGCTGATGTCCTGCTGATGTGACTGGGACCTCAGGTCTTGGTCAGGTAGTCAGGATGTGGTGGGACACAGCTGCCAGCTAGCACACAGTTTCACTTGGCTACCTGGAAAGAGTATTTGGAGTTGTGGAGGCTTCACTTTAACCCCTTGCAGTGCCCTTTCCTTCTGAGATGACTGAAGCACTGTGAAGTGAGACGTGGCAATTAAATACGTCAAGTCCACGTTTGGTGATAAAGTTATTTGGCGTGCAAGGGTCCTGCCTCGGGTGAGGCCCCCAGAGCCAAGCAGCAATGTTTTGGCCTGCCGAGGGAAGAGCAAAGAGCTCTCTCTGCATTTTCCCACTGAAATGTTGGATTGGAATATCTAAGCTCAGCTGTGGTTTCAGCATTGTGTCATATTGATTGCATGCTGCTCCTCAAATAGTAAAGGCATCTCTGCAAAATTCCAGGATCTCTTCAAAACGATGCAAGTTGCAAAGTTTTGACACCCTCGCCCCTTTTGCGAGCTCAGTTTGGATCAGGAACATTTGCAATCCATTTGTAGAGAGTGGGACGGTATTTCAGCAGCAAAAGGGCAGTGTCTGGCTATGCGTGTGTGTCATTGTGAGGTCCTGGGTAGAGCCTGTTGCATAAAATAAGCTGCCATCCTCTTACCTGTTTGAACAAGACCTGCTTGCTGCAGCACTTCTGTGGGTCTTAGGCTCTAGGATCTTAAGAGCTTAATTCTCTGTTAATGCTGGGAAGTGGATTTCAAGATCCTTGAGAACAAGAACAATGAGAAATACTTGCTGTGCAATTGTTTCCTGGCTTCTTAAAGCTTACTTGAATGCATCTGTAGCCAGAACAGCTGACTAAAGCCTGCCGTTTAGCTCGGTGGGACATGTGAAGGAAGGAGAAGGTGGCGGTGGATCCAGGCCCATGACACATCTCTGCAAGTTGCACAAGTTATGTTTCTGGCACGAAGGAAATTGGTGTGCTCGACCTCTGTCTCGTTTAATTTGTTCCTGGTTGGTTTGTAGGCTACCAGAGAGCAGGACCAAGATGAAATAATTTGAGGGAATTAGCTCATAAGCCTTGGAGAATGGAGAACCTCTCTTCTTGTGTTTTCTGCCATTGATACCCACAGCGGCCTCGCTGTGACACATCAGTGACATTTGAGGACAGTTTTTCTCCCCAGGCTAATTCCCCTGGGCCAGTACCGAGCCCTGCATCTAGCACGTGAGTGCAACAAGTACAACCACATCTTGTGCCCCTCTTCCCGGGCAAAACAGGCGTAGGAAACTGCGTGTGCAGTTGGTCAGTAGTGCTTTGCAAGTGTTCATACCTTGCTTTAGCAGCTGCCTTGGAAAAATGCTGTGCAGGGCTTCTCGCTGCGGCCCTGGCCCGCACAGCTGCCCCGGAGCTATGCGCAGAATGGCTCTGTTTATCTGGGAAAGTGTGTGTGTAGGCGGCTGTCTCCCTCCACTTCTCCTTCAAGTGGCTCACGATTTATTTTGGGCCTGTCTTGGATGTAAAGTGTCAGCTCGAGAGCAAACCACTCGAGGTTGAGGTTGAAAGCATCGGGGTAGGAGGCTGCTTGCTGTCCTGGACTGCCGAAGTGACTCGGGGGCAGTGAAACCATACAGTGACCAGGTGCCCTGCTTGCCTCCACCAGCTGATTGATGTATACTGAGCTCACAAGAAGCGTTCCTGGAGCGAGGTTGCCTCCAGGAATGGTTTCTTCACAGCGCTTAACCTGGGCAAAGGACACCTGTGTAGGGAGCTGGAGTTTTCCTGCCCCAGCTCCCATCTTGTGCTTGGAGCCCCTGTAGCTGTGGATGCATCTGTTATTATTCTTGACTTCCAGAGGGCTTAATTAAAATACAGGTCTTTAATTTTTAATTTTTCCTTCCTGTTGATTCGACTGTCTCTGCGTGAACAAGGCCTCAGCACAATTACTGCACTCCCTGTGGAGAGCCAGACATTTAATTCAGCGAGGCAGAGGCTTTCTTGGAGGGGATTTATTTTCCTGATCTTTTTACTCTGAGGGATGCAAAAGCAAAATACCCGGTGAGTAGAGAATCCGATGCCTTCTTGGGTTGTTCTGGGCATGTTTGGTGGTGGATCATGGTTACCAAAATATGCAGATAACCCCCTTCTGGAGCAAGGAGCACGTGGCGGAGCTGTTCTGCACCACTTGTATGAGCAGGGCGAGTCAAAGCCCTTGGGGTCAGGTCCAGGTTTCCCCTTTAAAACCTGGTTCCTGCAGCGCTGCCGCAAAAAGGTTAAGTGTTTTATTCCTGTAGGAGGCATTCGGGTGTCTTGTGATGGACTAACCCCAGAAAAAAGGGGTCAGGAGAGCCCCCCGTGCCTCCCCGCCGTGGGAGTGCAGCGCGTTGACCTGGCTGCTCCTGCGAGGGACACTGGGCTGGGTGGAAATCTCAGATTTCCTCTGCCCTTTCCGACGTTCGCTTTAGCTCACTCGGTGCTTTGGCTAGCTCAACGCCCCACGTGCAGCCGCGGATCGATGCCGGAGCACACACACGGAGCGTTTGCCTGCGCTTGCGGCCGTGCAGCTGCAGCCTTTTTATAGACTGCTTAAAATACCAGGAGCTGCTTCGGCCTCAGGCCCGAGGCTTCCTCGGTTCCCGTTAGGTGTCTGTGTACCAGGTGATGTTCCCGTGTTTGCAGAGATCGTGTACGTCCGTGAAACTTCCACATGCAGCCTCAGTCTATTTTTTTATTATTATTTTTCAGGTCTTTCCAGGTCTTCCCGTCTCTGTCCTGCTTAAAAACCTGCTGCTGTGGTTTTGAGGGGTGGATCTGACAGCAATGTGGCCACTGTTCGTGCTTGGCAAGTGGCCCCCGGGTGCCACCCAGCTCTGGGCGTGCTGGCACGCTTGAAATCCGCTCTTTTTGTGACAATTTGAGGTCTGCACGGCCCCTTTCTGCCACTTACTCTGAAGGCTGCTTTGATTTGTAAGCTGCAAATTTAGACTCAAGACCTGGGACTCTAAACATGTTGAGGGTGAGGGTGTTTTGGTGGGATTTAAACTGCCTGCTTTTAGTTTTCTTTATTTGTCCCCTTGTGGAGAAGATAAACATTTCATTGTTGTTGGTGAGAAGTGTCTTCTAGTACCAGCAGTCCAGCAGTGGGGGATAAAGAAAGCAGATGCGTCCCATCTCTTTTTAACTGCTTTTGTTTTTCTGATCGCTCTAAAGGAGGCTTTTAATTTTTTTTTCTATTTTTTTTTTTTTCTGAGCAGCAAGTGCTCCACAGGGCTTGATCAAAGCTCATAAATGATGGATTGAAGGAATGCCCAGCAGAGAACAGAACGCCCTTCTTGTGCTGTGCTCTGTGTGCTGAGAACACCATTGTTTCCTCGCGTACCTTTTTCCTCCTCGAGCTCGGGGCCGGGCAGAAAAGGCTTTTGTTCCTTGCCTGTCGGCCGAGACAATGGCAGTGTGTTGTCCTACCTCTGCTCTCACCACCTGACCGGCCAGAGCCCTGTGGGTTTTGGCAAGCCCGGTGCAATTGTCCTGCAGCTCCGGCGTTGCAAAGCAAACAAATGGCATCACAGCCTCCTTCCTCCAGATCCCGGCCGGGACGCTCGATGGGGGCAGCCACAGTGTACTGCTTCCATTGGAAAGCTGTGCCCCAGTCCTGCACTCTGGGTCGAGCCTCCTCTGCCTTCCAGCAAGCTGGATTTGGGGCTTGGATTCAGGCTTTGCTCCTGGCCCGTGTCACAGACGGTGTCCGGTCCCCAGAGCCGCCCCTGCAGCTTGCCCTGGCCTCGGCTTTCCTCAGGCTGAGCTGTCTGCTTTCAGGTTCAGCCCTCCCCGAAGTTTGTTTTCTAGGCACACCCTCGCAATTAAACCAGCTGGTGGTAACTTCTGCGAAGCTGTGACAGTGCCAGCATCCCGGGCCCATTACCTCAGAGCTTTAACTCGAGCTGCACCTGGGCCAAACGCTCTCCCTGCCCAGTCCCGGTGCTGGAAGGCAGACGTGCAAACAGCTTTAGCCAGAACAATGTAGCATTGCCTGGGTAAAGAATGTGATTTACTTGCGTATGTGTGGCATGTGAGCGCCAGGGCACTGCGTGAGCCCTCGCTTTTTTTCTTTTCTCCTTTTTTTTTTTGCTTTCCCATTAGAGATGTCTGTTAGCGCTTTTGTTTGGGGGCGAGGAGGAGAATGCGTGGGTCGGCGACAGGAGGTAGGAGGGAGATCTTCAAGAGAGCGGAGCCTGAAACCAAAAAAGCCAACAAACTAGTAAAGCTTTGTAAACAAGTTTAAAATTAGCCTGACCCACTGCTTTTGTATTGCTGGAATTTAATTCCCCTGACCCTACAGCTTTTGGTCTGACTTGAAGCAAGAGTTCCCAGGCTGAGGTCCCTGGAGGTCTGTGCTGTGAGGCCGTGGGTCTGCATCAAACAGCGAGACGTACCTGCTGTCCACCTCATTTTTTTTTGTCCTTATATTTGTGGGAGGCTGGAGAAATTCAGTCTGAAAATCCCCTTGTGTCTGTATCTGTGTGTGCCTTGTGGCTGGAGTCTGCTCTCCCTCAAACTGAGATGCTGCTGCGTGAGAGCTGCTCGGAGCTTTTCCTTTTTCAGGCATGATTATAACCGTTTCTCTTCTGTTCCTGTTTGCAGGTTGTGCAGCTTGACACTAAAGAAACTGGTAGTCTTAAAGGAGTTGGATAAGGAGCTTATTTCTGTGGTCATTGCTGTCAAAATGCAGGTAATTGCTGCTCAGTGCTGAGAATCAGACGTGTTGCTTGGGTAACGTGCTGGCAGATGCCTAAGCTGAGCTTACATCCATCCAAGGGTCCATAACAGCCACGGGCCACTTCCCACATGCATCAGGGCGTTCTGGGTGTATGGGGAGTCTCTCGTGGTCCTTCCCCTGCGTTCCTACCACATCTCACTGTTGTGACCTGAAACCTGTTGTTCCCTGAGGGCTCAGCGTGAGCTTAAGGATGCTTGTTACAGATCACATGCAGTCACCTGTTCTTCCTGAGCTGTCACCAAATCCAAGCCTAGTCTGTATTTAACATACTTTGGCCCATTCTAGGGCAAAACGTCTTGGTAACTCGGTCCTGGCATGGGAGGGTCTGGAGGCTGGGCCACCTCCTGCCGAGGGGCAGCTCAGCTCTCAGGAGCTCAAGCTGGTTTTGTAGCCAGGTGCTTGTCAGTGGATTTATTGAGTGCCTGTACGTTTTAATTTGTTTCCATAAAAAAACAGCTATCATCTGAAGTAAATAACCTACTTTGCAGCATGGGTTTGTGCCATTTAATTAGGTGCCTACATATAGGTCATGCTGCCTGGAGGCAGGTTCAGAAGGAAGCGATTCAGTTCCACTGTGTGGCACAGCATCAGCTGAGCTCGAGTGCTCCCACCACTGTCAGTGCTGAAGTACTTACTGATTAAAAGCCTGGCGGACCTCTAAGTAGACAAATACCATTAACCGTGCTGAAAAGCAGCGGCTTTGCAAATAAAGGGACAGGCAAACTCCTGCAGAGATCTGGTGGTGTCAAAATCCAGCTTGGGAGTTGAAATCACAAAGGCTGTATGGAGCAAGAACTGAAGGATTCAGAGAAGGATTCAGAAGCTGAGGATTTAGCCAATATCTCATCTCCATGAGCAGTCCAGCTGGGACAAAATCATGTCCCTGTGTGTTGGAGAGGGTCCACACACCCCTGGCAGGGAGCAGAAAGGTAGGGAGCAGTTTCACACGCCTGAACTGATGGGAACCTCTGAAGACACACAGCTCTGGGTTTGCAGGCTGTCAGATGCTGCTTGTCACGGCTGAAAGCTTTCCATATGTTTGTACTCCAAGACAGTGGATGCATCGCTGTAAGGCCCTGAGGCTTGTCGGTGAATGATCTACGTGTAAAGTGTGTCAGGAAATTGGGGAGGAAAATTGGGCAGCTTTTGCTAGAACAAAACCTCCTCCTCCTGTCTGGTGCCGAGTGCTTCTACCTTCTGTGGGTGGAAAGGGCTGGAAGTGGTGCCCCAGAGCTGCAAGTCTGAAGGGGTTTTGGCAGATGGGACTTTCCTGTCTATTTTGGATACCCGCTGTGACCTGCCTTGCTATAGGAAGTCAGATGCTGAAACCCGAGCAGTTCTCCCACAGTCCCCTCTGCAGCAGGGCCGATCCCTGAAGACCTGGAAAGCGACAGGACTCCTCCTGTATTGCTGGGAACATTTGGGGTGCTTCTCCGACAACTCCCAGGCTGCGCCTCGCACCCCTGGGCCGTCCTTTTTGCCCTTGGGCTGTCCTTCCAGCTGACCTGGAGGTAACGTGGCCGCGACGACTGCTGTCCTGAGGGTGCCCATGGCTTCACCTCGGGTGTCCCTGGCACCGATAGGGGTTCGATCATCGCCCCTATCTCGTCGTGATGTGCCATTTAACGGTAGGTCGGCAGCACTGCGGCTGTCCCCGAGGCAGGCAGATTGGAGGCACTCTTATTAAAGCCCCGTGATGGCTCGCAGGTTATTATTACGGTGCTGACAAGCTCTTTTAAGGCCGCTGAATTTGCCAGCGCTCGGGTGTCTGACACAGCTATTGTTTGAAGCTGGCGATATCGGATCATCAAATATATGATCTCTGTCAAAGGACTCGCTGTCTTTGTACGGGGAATTGCAAGAGAGAGGTGTCAGGCCCTGGAGCCCTTCCAGAGGGGATGACTGAATTCAGACCTAATGAGAGCATCGCACCTGCCTTTCCCATGGCTCCTCGCAGCCACCCGAACAGGGATGTTCAAAGAGTTGTCAACGCCATTTCCCAAGCTGCTGCGCTATTTATCCGCTGCCGTCTCCTCCAAGCAGCTATATTTGGGCCTTCGTTAGATTTAGGGTTGCGTAACGAGTGAAGCAAGACTGTGACTGCTCGGAGATTTGCAGCGGCGGAGCAGATGCCGCTGTTGCCAGCAGCAAGGCTGGGCGTGCTTCACTTGCACACGTGCTGCTTTTCCTGGGGGGACCCTTCGCTTTCTGCCCCTGCTCTGCTGCCTGTCTCCAGACCTCCTGGAGTTTGGGGAGGAAGGGATGTGAAGGAGTCCTGGCCTCTCTCCCTGGTCTCAGGATGCTCTCTGGGGCTGAATTACCATGCCCAGTTCTGCTTTGGACGGAGCTGGGCCGTGTTTACCTGCTTGCCTGTCTCTAGTTCCCCAGCTGGTGCTTTTTGGAGAGCTGCAGTTCCGTGCTGCTGGGAGCTCAGCCCGGCTGGACAAAGCCAGATCTGCAGCCTCAGCAGAAGAGCGAGCCAGCGGCCTCTGAAACTTGCCACTGTTTGAACAGTGCGGGAGCGTTTGCTGGGCAGCACTTTGTCATGTTTCCCTCCTAGTTTTCCCTGAAACAGTTCCCCGAAATGAAATGCTGAGGCAGGAAGCAGCCCGGTAACTCAGCATATGGCAGCCCAAACAGCGCTGATGTGGAGTAATCCTGTCACGTCTCCAGCCTCCCCTGCAACGTTTAGGGGATTTCTTTTCTCTGCAATCCCAGTCGCTCAGAGCTGTTGGAACAGGTTGAAATCCCCGCTTTCCCCAGGGAGGGGTGTGTGTAGGAAGAGGAGAGATCAGTTTGTCGTGGCTAGCGCCGGAGGGTTACGTGTGACGCTGCAGCCTGCCTCCAAACCCCGCTGCGGAGCCCGATACCTACGGGCTGAAATCATAAACCCAGGCTGCAGCTCGAGGGCTGGGGGCTGACTCACAGTTTCTGAACGCTGGGGTTTGGCAGAACAAAAGCTGCTTTGTTGCAGCGAGGGACAGTAAATATGCCCAAATCTTTATTAGTCAAATATCTCCCTTTCATCTCATTAATATTTCACAGGCGTGCAAGGTCAGATCCATCCGTTTGCTTTCTCTGCGGCAGTCCCTGAAAACACTTCCCAGTTTTTCTATAAAGGGGAAAGGGCTGGGATGGCCATCTGAGGCTTCTTCCATTTCAGCCCACTCTTCTGCCCCCCTCCCAAGGCCAGAACCACTCCAGCAGTGCCAGCAGATCAGCACCCAGCCCTGCCTGCAGCCTGCTGCCCCCTCTTTTCCCTGGGGAGAGGCAGACCATGCAGCCCTAAAGCAGCTCCAGGTGACATCAGGGAGGGCAGGAGCCCCCTGATTTCACCTCTGAGCCTGTCAGGTTGGGTGGTTAAGGAAAGGGCTGGGGGATTCACCACGTGGACTTTGTTTCTGTGCAGGGCTCCAAGCGCATCCTGCGGTCTCACGAGATTGTATTGCCCCCGAGTGGACACGTGGAGACGGAACTGGCGCTGACCTTCTCGCTGCAGGTAGGGTGGGACGCGGCCTCGGGGCCTGTGCTCGCTGGAATTGCTGCTTTTGGGTGAGATTTGGTGCTTCCTGGGTCTGTGGTCAAGAGCCTTGTGTTGGTTGCTCTGTTCCTCAGAGCAGCCTGCCCCGGTGCTGCCTCCTGAGTAGGGGAACGAGGTAAATAGAGGCTGGCTTGCTGCAAGCAGGAGGGAGGATCCTGCGTGCATGCAGCAGTCAGACAGACACTCAGAAGCATTCCGATCTGGGTTAGCTGTATTTTGGGACTAGATTTTGAAGTCGAGGGTTTGATCTGGTAAGAAGAAAGGCTCCAGGGACGATGCGAGACGGAGCGGTTGTTACTCTGAGACCTGGGTAGACTCAAATCTCAATGAGATTTCGGTGCAGATGGATGATAACCCCGGGACTGCACAGGCAGGTATGCAGATGGCTGGTGTTCGTGGTTGTGTCCTGACGCAGCCCCCAGGCTGGGTTATCTGCAGCGTTGCAGCCCTCCGTTGTGGGCAGGAATGACACAGCCACGTGCTGGGAATAAGTATGCGTGGCCGTGGGGGCTGCAGCTTTACAAGGGCAGGGAGCAGAGCCTTAGGATGAGCCACGTCTCCCTCTGCCAGTCCCGTGTCGGAAAGGAGCAAGCGTTTCTGCCCAGCTTTTTGGAATCAACCAGGAACGCGTGTGTTTTTCTGCAGCTCAGAGCAATCCTGCAGCAGGGCACAGAGCACTGCTGTTAAGTCGGTTTCTCCTGAAGGGGCTGGGAATTGAGCCAGAACAGAGGAGGAGGATGTCCGTGACACTGGCAGCCCTCAGAAAGGAGGGTGTGAGAGGAGCGAGCTTAATGCAGAGACGTGCTGCTGCTCTCTGACTGCAGGCAGGATCAGTGCTCTTGGATGCAGCAGGGCCTGGGAAGCCTTCCTGAAATGGCACAGCAGGACTTTTATGACAGCTTTTATTGTTTCCTAATTGGCCGATGGCTGGAAGCTACTCTTAGCTAATGACTACAGCCTGAGCCAGGTACAGTCTGAATTTAGTGCCTGGGATATTTTGGGAGCGGTGCTGGGCCACCAAGTAAAAGCGTGTGGATGTCTCAGCGGGAGAAAGCCTCGGCGTCTTGCAGCAGCCAGCAGCTCCATCCTGCACTCTCAGCTCTCCCAGCTCCACGCCTTGCTCGGTGCTAGCTGTGTGGACCTGCAGCCCCTTTTACCTTCACAATCACGTCCTCCTCAGCTCTTCCTCCTGGATGCAAGTGCTTGTTCCTTACGCAGAGCGTTTCCTCGTCAGCATTGAGGTGACAGGACAGGCTGGCACAGCAGCGCGCAGCCCGTTGTGGCTGGCAGGCTCTCACTCCAACAGAAGGGAGGAGTTTCCTGTTGCTGTTACACAGCTGGAGGAAGGAAAAATAGTGTGTCCGATGCCATTTCACCTCGCTAGCTAGGGCTAGAGCAGCAGTATTCTTTCTGGTAGGTGAGCTACCTTCAAGGTAAGCTGCCCTCACTGCTTTTCCTCACCCGTGGGTTTCTCAGGATCGAATGAAATTCCCTAGGTATCCCAAGCACAACCTCACACCTCTCCAGAGCACTTAATTCCTGTGTTTGATCCTCCCACACGGGGGGGATTTTGTCACCTGGGCTTCAGAATGAATTTCTTGCACTGCCTCCTGCTGTTCTGGGGTGGGTGATGGTCCCCTCCTCTCACCCCTTGGATGTGCCAGTGTGGTGCCCCTAAACATCTCATTTCCAAATATTTTGAGCCAAATTGTGTCACGGACTGGCAGTTACTGAAAAGTTTTGGTTGAAACCATTCTGTAGAGCTCATAAGCCCTGGCAGCAGTTAAAAATAGCTTGGTGGTGCAGTGGAAATGGCTCAGCTGTTCCAGAGGACCTTGCTTTTAGCCGAGGAGGTGAGTGGCCTGGGTGTCTCTGTACTTTTTAATTAAAATCATCTCTACGAATGTTCATCAGAGGTAGCAAGGAAATGCACCTCTGAAAATCAGAAACCTGCACGTGTATGGACTTGAGCCATCCAGTTCAGTCCCGAAAGCTGTGCACGTTGAGATGTGTGATGTGTTTTGTGATGGTCTTTTAATTGCGTGGGCTGTTCTGTTGTTCCTCTCTTCTGTGTGGCCACTTCCTCGTGCAGTGCACAGAAGATCCCGTCCTTGCAGAGCAATTAGTTAATTAGTATTCCGCTTGTTTGTGCGGCCACTGCTCCTGGCTCTCTGCAGAGCAGCCAGGCCTGCTCTGGACTGCAAATTAATACCTTAAGGTTTCTGGTGACACCCAACATTTGTATTTATCAAGCTTTTTCCTAGGCAGAAAGTTACTTTCAGAATGTCCAGAGCAAGGGAAAAATACTTTTTGCCTGTGAAATGAAGCATTTTTCTCTGAGGTATGTCCAACGTTAGGATCCCTGCCGTGAGGTTCTCCTTTCTGCAGGCCCACGCAGCCCAACCCATTTCTTGGGGGCTGCTCGTTGCTTTGGAACCAGACCCGGTCCCAGCCCTTACAAACCAAACAGCTCCTCTGCACCCCTGGGCTTGAACTGTTCCTGCAGGTGCAGGGCTCCCTGAGCTCTCCCCCTGTCCCTTGGGTGGCCTTGGGGCTCTGGCAGAGCTTTGCCAAGGCTGCTTTTGGGGTGAGAGGTGGCTTCAGCTGCTCTCTCAGGGTGGATCAGGACCGCATGAAGTGCTTGGCTGGGGAAATGAAAGTCCAGAGCTGAGAGCTCCTGTCAGAGATGAGGCCTCTTTGGGATAACGGAGGGCTGTGCGTTGAGGTTTAGTTCATGTAGGCACTTCTAAAAGCCCTGGGGTTAACCCTAGGAATGGAACTGAGCCGTGAACCAGGCAACTGGGAGATAATGTTAAGGGATGTAATAACCTTTTGCGTTGTGTTTCCAACTTCAGTACCCTCACTTCTTGAAGAGGGAAGGCAACAAGCTTCAGATCATGCTGCAGCGGCGGAAACGGTACAAGAACCGAACGATTCTGGGCTACAAGACTCTGGCTGTTGGCTCTATCAACATGGCTGAGGTGAGCAGCGTTTGGCATGATCAATACTTCCAAGGGGGGATATTTTCCCCATTCCCTTCTCTTTAAGCCCCGTGTTGTCACTCTCCTCGTTGAGGAGTACCTGGATGGATTTCATGTAACTGTCTTAACAACTGCAATTAGTAGTCAGAGAAAAATATTTTTAAAAGATTTTAGTATTGAGCAATAACATTTTGTGTTTTCTAGCTAATATCTTGAGAGCTAAAGGTTTCTTGAGGCTTGCTTATTAGCTTACAAGGTTTGTGGTATTTTTTTAGCCTTGTTTGGTTTTGTTTTGAGTTGGAGGGAGTCCAAATAATTTCACTCAAATGCAATATGAATCCCCTTTGTATTCAGGACACTTCAGCATGTATTTAAATACTTGTACGTTTTCTTTTTTACTGTGTTTTGGAAAAGAAACAGTAGAAAGTCCAGTTTATTTGGTTGAGTTTAACTAATGCATTTGTCTCATGTTCTTAAATGTAAAAATGTTGTTTCAAATATGCAGAAACAAAACTGTTAGGGGCACTTGTGCAAGTCTTCCAACCCTAAGAAATACCAAGGTTAAAGCAACTGAGGTTTGCTCTGTTTCCCTGTGCTACTGTGTGACAGTTCAGCATCACGTAGTTTTCATCACTTTGCTTGAAACACCCTTTGCAATTCCTGTTTGGTTGTTCTTGGTAATTTAGGTGGAATTACCTGTGCGTGAGAGGTAAATAATAAAAACGTTCAGATTTACTCTTAAAATTAATGCTGGAATCAAGAATGGCTAAATTATTCACTAAAGTGTTCTGAATGGCTTAGCTCCATGCTTCATTATTTCATGCCCCGTTTAATCTCTGCCGTTTGTGTTCGCATATTTAGAGATGTACTTAGCAGAAACAAATTCGGTTTAATGCCAATATTTTTCATCAGACTACATTCTATCAGCAACTTGTTACCATCCAAAATAGATAATGTTGTGCTGTGGAGAGTTACTACTGTGTTAAATAATTCATTATAAAGAACACTCCTTGTGTGTGTGTTAAGCTTCCCTTAGACTTGCAGGAAATGTTGAATTCCCCATTTGAATCAGCCAAATTCTAATTTATAGTGTTGTAGCTAACATTTTTCCTGTACCATGTTTGGTTTGTTTAAGAACTGGGAGTTAAATATTGCTGTAAGGCAGAAAATGTGTGGGCCCATTAATTAGACCCATCAGCGAGCTTCTAAGTGTTGGGCATTTGCTGCTGCGTGTGGCTTATTTTTTCGGTCTTTCTGTAACGTCATCTGACTGAGGTTAGAAGGTCATAAATTTTCAAAGGTTCACTTTGTTGGGAAATAGTTGCACTCCCGCTCATCTGGAATACTTCAGAAACTGAAGACTTCAGGTAAACAAACCCTATATCCTCTTTGCAGTTTGTAGGGTAATGACCCCGAGACAGCACATTAAAAAAAAAAAAGTTATTGTGGCAGCTGAAACAAAAGAAAGCAATGAAAAGCTATCGGAGGCATGAGTCTGAGCAGAGTTTAAGAGCAGGGGGCCTATGTTCCTCATCAGCTCGGGTCATTTTAAAGCCACGTGAGGAGCTGACAGGGCAGCCTGGTGTGTGGTAGAAAGCTGAGGCGCAGGCAAGTAGGGGTGGGGAAGCAATTTCTGACTCTGGGGCAAGAGGAGAACCTGAGCCTTAAGTTCAGGGCATAGCTCTGTGAACTGTGGGTGGCAAAGGGATGATAACTGCAGAGAAACCCACGCTGAGATGTCTCTCTGCCTCCTCCATCACCTTGTTTTTTTTGTAACTCACCTCTTCATTAACCCAGGGTGGCCAGCTCCTCTGAGATTCAGGTGCCAGCTCTCTCAGACACTTTGCTGCGTGCCCCACCAAGAATTTTTGCTTTTGCTGGCTCTTCTGTTGGGCTTTAACACAGAAGTGAGTTCCTTAATTAGGTGTTCAGAAGGTTGGTAACCTGATAAGTCAAATCAGTACTGTGTTGTGGAAGCAAATACATAGTAATGAGGTAATCAAGTATCAGGCTTCAAGGATGAGCTAATCAGCTGTCACACTCAGAAAATTTTTCCTTTCTTTCCATCACTTGCATTAATAGTCAAGTAAAATCTCAGCTAGCATTGTGTATTGCCTGCAAGTGGCTTCTGCAGTTGCAGGGTGTTGGCTTCCTTCTGTACTTGGAAATCTGAAGTAACTCTATTAACATAAATAGCTCTTGTAGTATGCAAATGGTGCAAGTTTAAATACATTTAAATGCAGATTGGTGCTGCTTGATTTCTGTCCCAGGTCATGCAGCACCCCACAGAAGGTGGCCAGGTACTAAGCCTCTTCAGCAACATCAAAGAAGCTGCAGTGAAGGTAGGCAGAAATCTGGATCTTCTCCTTGTCAAGTCAGCCAATTGACCATGAAGACAGCACAATGCAGCCCAGCCAGAAAATCAAGTCCACAGGTAAGAGTACAACCACATGCTCTGAGGACTGGTGTCTCCTGAACTAGCTGCAGTTAAACCTTAGATGGAAACAGCTTAGATGCTTCTGGGGACAAATGAGGACTGGTTTGCATGAGTTCCCTACCAGTAACTGATGGCTGCAAAGGAAACCAACTTTGCAAACCCTGTTGCTGTGTAAGCAGGGAGGGTGACAGGAGTTGGGGATTGTCAGAGGTTCTTCTGCATATCATACCAGGCTTGAGCCATCCAGCAAGTTAGACGTGTGCTCTTCCAGCATTACTGGTAGGTGTGCTGAGAACCTGTAGCTTCTCACAGGGCCTAACAGTGTCATATTCAGGAGATGCACATTTAAGCTGCTCTGCCAACTTCTTTTTCCTCTGGGTGTTGTGCAACAAATGTCGTTAACCTCTGTAAGACCTAGAAAGCTGTCACGTGTTTTCTGTGGGCTCTGGTCTGCTTTAAAGAGAGCAAATCCAAGTGTTGTGCATCTGTGTAAGAAAGTCATTGAGTTTTTACTTGTGATCTTCCACCTTCTTTGTAGTACCAGGCTTCTGCTCACTGCCAGAAGAGTGACCTGTTGGAGGTAGTGCCTGCAGGTGTTGCTGCCTGAGGCCGGGCAGGACACCTGAAGTGTCACATCAATAGAATTGAGACTCTCCTGTCATGTCTTTCTTGTTTCTGTAGGTTAGATGTGCCCACTTAAGGGGAAAAATGATTTTCCTTGTGAGGAAATTGCTGCTGTCTGCCAGGTGGTTCTTCCCAGAGTAAAAGGGGATGGTATTTCAAGGAGTCTTATCTGCGTGCTGGTTTGTCCTTCCTATTTGATATATCTTCCTCGTTTCTCATCTCCAGGAGGTTCCCATCTCACTGGTTCAGGCACAGATAGAAGATGAAAGGGGGCACACAAGGGGCCTGATAGTTTATTGCTGTTAGTAGGCTTTCTCTGCTCCTGAGTTGAGATTGTCCCCTCGCATTAAAGGAGTTTCATGGGATCTCTCCCCTCTTTCCTTCCCTTTCAGACAACTATTCCGAGGAGGAGTACGAGAGCTTCTCTTCTGAGCAGGAGGCCAGTGATGATGCCGTACAGGGCCAGGTACTGTTTAGGGCATGGTTTCTCCCTGTGAGGAGTTCTGTAGAGCATGTACATTCTCAGCCTGTGCTTGAAGCTGTAAGTCTAATTCTCTAGCTAGACCATGACAGTGTGAGACTGTTACCGAGTATTCAGTGCAGTGGCAGAAGGAGAATGGAGATGCACAGGATCCCATTTCTTCCACTGTGCTGTGATTTATCTTATGTGTTGATTTGAGCCCCCTTTAAACACCTAAAATATTGGCATTCCTGTGCATTTCTCTGCTTAATGGTCAAGGCATCAGTTGATTGCTTCTGTAATGCTGACTGGATTCCAAGAGCCCAACTAGGCCCCAGCTGTCATGGAAGGGCCAGTGGGATCCGAATCAGATGCTGGTCTTTAATACCTGCTGCAAAATGAGTCCTTACAGAGAACCCCTGAGTAGATGTGAGATGCATTTGAGTTTGGATCTGACTTGCTTCAGACTCTGGCATCACTTGCCTTCCACCTCTTGGAGGGACTGAGAGAGGAACCCACTGCAATGTGGGGCTGAAACTATCCTTGTTCCCTCAGTATAGAACTAGGGCCGTTTTGCTTCTCCAGTTCTGGTATTCTGGCTCTCTGCAGACCTGGCTCAATTCCTTTTCCCTCTGCCACCATAACCACAAACAATTAAAGCAAATGCTGAATGCCTGGAAGATAGAGCAGCATGTTCATAGAGGGAACATTGTTAGCACTTAAATGCCCGTGTGTCCCCAAGCCACGAAGGTAACAAAGGAATCCTCTTTCTGTTCAGGATTTGGATGATGATGAGTACGAGCTGGGGAAGCCCAAGAAGCAGCGGAGATCGATAGTAAGAACGACGTCCATAACCAGGGTCGGTGGAAATTAGTTTTACTAACACTGATGGGGTTTGGCCAGGATTTGCAGTGCATGTGGCTTGTGGGAGCAGCAGCACTAGACACGCTGGCCCAGCAGGGAGCCTGGGGGCATGGTCACAGCATGTGAAGAGAAGGCAGAAGCTGTCAGAGCAGGGAGTGGGACAGTTCGTGCTGTGTGTGCCGTGAGTGTCCTTCAGCTGCAAGATGAGGGAGCTCCAGAAATCATGTAAGCATGTGAAACTCAGCCTCATAACGAAGCCAGGGCAGAATCTGTGCTCACGTAAGTCCTGAAAGTATAGCTTCAAGTGAGGGGAAGCTCTTCTGCTTGTGCTCTGCATGGGAGAGACTTGTGGAAAGGTTTCAAAACAAAGTTAAGTAGCTCAGTTGGGCTGGAGCTTGACGATGAACCTGAGGTGGTGCATGTGCTGTTGAGGAAAAGGAGTAGCTGGATATTGAAGGCTTTGGTAGGTAGCATGCAGCCATCTGCCCTCTCACAGCAAGCATGTGGTTGCCTGTAAAACTCCTGTGTGGAGCACTGACCTGTGCTGGACTGCACCGTAATGCAGCTTTCTGCCGACACAAGCGCTTGTGCATGTCTGTGATGACAATAACAAAATCATCATAATGGGCTAGGTTTCTTTTTGGACTTAGGAGTCGGTTTGGAGTTCATTTGTACCCTCTGTGAGGCTATTTTTGAAATCTGTGTTTTGAGAAGGTCTGGAATAAACACCGTTTTGACCTGAATCTACAATTAAAAAGATCCTCTATAGACTAGGAGTACGCTAGCTCATGTGCTTGATGTCATTAGTATTGTTTTCAGGCATTAGTGACAGCACAGGGCAAAATACACACCTTAGTTAATATTTGAGCAACTTCTTCTTAATAAGAATGGCTTTCTGTCGCCGACCATTCAGCTGGTACTGAATTCAGTGTTTGAACAGTGTTTGAACCTGGTGAATTTATTTCACCTGAACTTCAGCTGGCCAGAAGGCAGCACAGCTTGCAGGATTTACATTCAGTGGTAAAGGGCTACGTTTGGAAGAGTGGGGTGGTGTGAAGTGTCCGAGGCCGGAGTGGTGGGACCAGGGAGACATACAAGAAAAGCTCACATGAGATACAGTCAAGCTAGTAGATGAGCAACTTGCTACACCAAAGAGTGGCCTGGCGCTAGCCATTTTCTCCTCCCTTTCCTCCTGACACAGGGATGCCACTTCAAATGCCCTGAACCAGCTCTCTTGCCTGTGCGTTCCTGTGCCTTTTCCTTAGAGTGTGTGTGTGAGGTTGGGCAGCGACAGAGAAGGGCTGGGCAGCTCAGGATAAATCTCAGCTGTTTGGTCCTGCGGGAGAGAAATAGCTCTGGTGTGCAAGTGAGCACAAAGGCAGTGCAGCAGTTGGGTTTGTGTTATTTTGGGCTCGGTGCCTGCTGTTTCCTAGATCTGCGGGTATTGGACTTGGAAAGCATTTTTCTGATAGACAAGTGCAAAGGACAAGCCTCACAACTTCTCTGCAGTGCTACTAGTCGTACAAGCAAGCCTGAACTGCAACAGGAAAAACAGTTTGGTAGAAAATACGTCTAGTCGGTGGGTAGAGGCTTGTGTTGGCTCACCAGTGTTGAGATCTGTAGGAGCTGACTCTCAAATGCTCACCAGAAATTTGCTGTCCACTCTGAGTCCAGCCAAGAGTGGTGCCATCTATCGGGGCCAGAAGGCTTACCATAATGTTTAGTGGAGTGGGACTTTGTTGTAATGCAGGGAAGTGCCATAGGTGTGGAAAAGCTGATTTCAACATGTGTATAGCAGAGATTTGGTTTGTGGTGCCAGCAGTTTTTTGACTTGAAGCAGCAGCTAGAGCACCCGTGTCATGTGTCCGGGTTTCTTACTGGGAGAAGACAGTTCACTGATGCTTAACTTACGTAAAAATGTCTTTGACTTGCAGCAACAAAACTTCAAACAGAAGGTTGTGGCGTTGCTGAAGAGGTTTAAAGTGTCTGATGAGGTAAGTAATGCGTGCTGGAAGCCTTCCTGTCTTCATATTGGTCTCTTTTACTGCTCAGTGTGCGCCCTGCTGTAGTCATCAGGAACATTACCCTGTTTCCTCCTAGTTCTCTTCACTTTGTTTCCAAGTCTGCAGTTGATGTGACCTGTCCTAATGCCCTGGCCTTGCATGGAAGCTCGAGGGCCAACTTTAAAATGCCATCAAATGTTTTCTAGATGAGGTTTTATCAGAACCAGATTTTGATAATCACTCGTACCCATTAATTTCAAAGACGGCTTTGAAATTATCTTTGGCTCTTTCAAAGGCAAGTAGACTACTATGTATATTGCTTGTGAAGTTAAATTGCTGCCTGTTTGATCATCTTACTGGAACAGCCAGGCCAGACTTGAAAAACTTTGATAGGAAACGCAGATGCACAGGAGAGACAGCTGTCTGGTCAGAGCTAAAAATGAAAGAGATCCAGAACCCAGAAACCTGTGTAACATCGAGGATCTGATAGAAAAACAGTTAACAGCTCGCTTGGCTGCCAGTCTGCATGCAGATCCTGTGGTTTGTGGGAAAGAGTGAGCAACTCCTCATGCTTCCTGACTCTTCCCAACAGCCCTGTAAGCTCTGCTGTTCTTCCCAAGTTAGCTCAGCAGAGTCGGCACCCGTATCTGAGGTCTCAGCCTGCTGTTTTTTGGAGCTGCCACTCAAAAAGCAAGCTCTGAGCTGGGTACAGTGGTGTGCTTACTCTGTATGTGGGAAGAAACCTTAGGGAAGTTTTGTCATGGGATACCTGTTCTCTTCAGGTTTGCATGCGGGTTGCAGCTGATCCTTGTCGAGGTTTGACACCTTCTGTGGACATTTTTGTCACATTTCTCCCTGCGTGGGTACCAAACATGAAATTAGAATGTGACATGGCAACTTTTTCAGTGAAACCCAACCCAGATTACTCAGCTGGGAGCCCTGCAATTCTGTGCGTGTTCTAAGAATACTGGGACTCCATTCGGGGCTTTCTGAAGGCTTTGTTTACAGAATAGAGTTGACCAGTGAACATACTCCATGGTTAATAACTAGCAAACTAGTCCAATAACTAGAAAACTAGTCCAAGAGGCAAGTAATGCTTACACAGGCGCTGACAAACTTCACCCCCAAACTTCACGGGCTCTGTTTGACTGCTAGCAGAGTCAGCCATGCCTGCTTTTCTCCTGCACATAGGTTCTGGATTCGGAGCAGGACCCAGCAGAGCACGTCCCAGAGGTGGAGGAGGACTTGGACCTCCTGTATGACACGCTGGACATAGAGAACCCCAGTGACAGCGGGCCAGAAATGGAAGATGATGACAGTGTCTTGAGCACTCCAAAGCCAAAGTTAAAGTAAGTGTGGGGTGGCTGATGCTGGGGCAGACGCCTGCAGAGCAGTCAGTTTGAGGAACTGCTTGGGGCTCGGTCTCCTGAGAGCTGGGACTGAAGAGGGATAGTGCGCAGTGTCAGCGCAGGTTAGATGGTGTTTCTATTCTCACCCCTCCACCCTGTTCCCACCCTCCCTTGACCTGGTGTCAGAGCAGCAGTATATGTTAGGATAACTTGATAATTGCTTGTGGGTTGGGTGTGGGGTGTCTAATTTCCCTTCTTCTTTTTTCCTCGTTCCCTTTGCAAATATTCTGCCTGCCGGCCACCTGAGCACAGGGGTAGGAACTGCTGACAGGCAGGCAGTGGAGCTAAACTTGACATAGATGTTCTGAAGAGGTGGTAGAAACAGGCAAGAAATCTGGTGATGTGGCAGAAGAAGGGTTGGAAGCTGCAGAAGCAGTAGTAGTGATAGACAAGGCGGTCTTTCTGGGAAAGCTGATAAGATCCTATGTGGAAAGAAAGTCTTTGGAGGGATTAAGGAAGTAGAACTGCAGGAAATAAAGGAGCTCTTCAGGGCCTGAGGGTGACTGACTGCAGCAGAAGTAGATACACCCAAGCCTGTTCTGAACTAGCTTCTGGAGGTGCTGGTGTGTGGCAGCACAGTGGAGCTGAGCTGTGGATCGCTTCTAGTTGGTCCTGGGGAGATGCTTTCTGGCTTCCTCTGCCCAGTTCTTGCATTCATATCACGAAAGGAATGTGATAAATGTTGATGCTTGTAGGCATTATTTCTTTCCTGCAACAACAACAACAAAAAGTCAGTTCCTTGAATTGTAATTGAGTCTTGAAGCCTGCAGTGATGATCTGCCTTTTTACATGGAGGCACAATCTGATTGCATGTGCTACCTTATCTTCTTGAGCAAATGTGCAATTGGATCCCAGGGCTGGCAGCCAAGTCTAGATGCAAGCTGGAAATAAAATGCACATGAGCACCAGGAGTCACTTAGCCCACAGGAGCGGAGAATGGGTGGGGGGCAGTAATTCTCCTTCACTTGCTGTCTTTCAGTCAAGAGCTAGACCTTGTCTGGAATGCCGTGTAGTTCAATCAGCGATTGCGAAGCTGAAACAAAAGCTGCAGTGTGAAACTCTGCACCTGGTGCTGGGGGTAGGAAAGGCACAACTGCTCGTGTGGGGTGAATGTGCGTTCTGTTCTGCTCGGTGAAAATGCTGGGCCCGTGGGCCCATCCCAGATTTTATGCAAGTAAAAACTTCTGTTTGGTGCGTCGCGTGAGAGCATGCAGGCATTCCTTGTGAGAGCCTTATAAATATGATCTGGTGGGTGACAGCTGACACGTTGGAGCCGGTACATGGAGGTCAGTCAGTCAGCACCAGGGCTAGACAGGACTCCTTGGACTTTCAGGCTTCTCCTGCTGTCCTGGAGACCTTTCCTCCCCTTCCTTTCACTCACAGGATCACAAGTAGCTTGTAAATTTTACTGGAAGTGTAGAGGAGTGGTAAGACACCTTGGGAACAGTCACATTTCTTTGCTGGGAACATAGTGGACTTTCTCTGTTAATGCTCTTAATAAAAACAAACTGTTTTTGCTTTCCTTATTCAGACCTTATTTTGAAGGACTGTCACACTCCAGCTCTCAGACAGAAATTGGTAGCATCCACAGCATCAAGAGCCAGAGAGAGCCATCAAGTCCTGTAAGTCTTCTCAAGAAGGTTATCCGTCTGCAGTTAATGTAGTAGCCTCAAGGTCTTGTCTGCACATCTGCATTCCCTTTGAAATTAAAGTGCTCTGACCACACGGTGCTAACCTGTCGTGTTCATCCTTGATACCTGCGCTATCTCTACGTACATGTGTAAATTAAAGCACCCTCTCTGACCTCCTCCAAAGCCTTGGATGCAGAGACGTGAATATTCTGCCAAGAAAGAGTGATTTTATTTTTTTATTTTTTTAACAGAAATCAAGTGTTAAGTCAGCGCCTTCAGTTTATGTATTGAATACTTGCTAATAGTGTGAATATCTCCACGTTTTCAATGCACTTGCAGTAGCCAGGATGGGAGATGTTGCCTGCGAGCTGTAGGGATTCCCTGACCCTGCTTGGAAGAAGCTTTACAACACTGATACCAGGTTGCTTTTCCGGGTGGCTGGGAGCGAATGCTGAAGTGAATGCTGCTCACCCTTTTCCATCTCCTGTTGGATGGCAGTACTAGGCACAGCGAGTATCAGCACCAATTCTGGGGGACTTTCTTGCCTCTGTGTACACTGTACGGTGTAAAGTACCTCTTTTAGTGTAGTAATGGATCTGTCTGAGAGTTTTAGGCACTGAGTGTCTAAGGCTGAGGGAAGGGGGGGAGCTGGAGTGCCTCCTGTCACAGCACTAACGAGCAGCCTCGATGGGAGCAAGTGGGCTCAGGGGCTGGACCTGCCTTGCCTGTGTCCAGGAGCTCCAGAACAGAGCCTCCAGTGGAGGCCTTGCCCCGAGCACCTTCCCTTGGTCTCACAAGCTGTCATATTCACGAGACGTGTGTGTTTCTTATCCGTGTCTGATCCGGCACTGTGTTGCCAAGAGCAGTGCCAGGCCTTGGCATCGCAGGGAGGCCGCCGAGCGTGAAGGCACCCAGGCTGGTTCTGTGAAGCAGCTGCAGGGCCGTCTGTGCTGGTTAATGCCTAACCACGTCTGGTACCACAGCTGCAGAACCGCAGGAGGAGGCCTTGCAGGGCCTGGGTCCTGTTGGATTGGTACCACATCTTCTCGTAGGGTTTTGTTACCCGATTTTTAAATGCGATGGTTGCATTAAATCTCTGTTAGCAGGGTTCAGCTGCTGCCTTGCCATGTCCCACGCTAGCATATTCAGTTCTGATGTGAACAGAAGCACTCACGGCTGTGCTGTGGAGCTGTGCAGTATTTAAACTGTGACTTTTGAACAGCCTCATCCAGACGGCATGGGTGAAAAATTGTGCTTCTGTCATACCTTCTAATGGTTTTCTCTTCTCAAGCAGGTAGAAGTGCCTGAAAAGTCAAAGACTCTCGGAACCAAACATGCAGGCGACAGTATTTCTGACACTGTCTCTTTTGTAAGTTGGAAACTCAGTTGTTAATGTTCCTCCTGGCAGTTTGGTTGTCAACTGTGAGCTACGTTCTGTGGCACGTGTCTGCCCTGTTCATGTAGCAGCGTATACAGCACAGCTGATGTAGGCAATGGTAGCTGCAGTGAAGATAATGCTGAGCTCTGCTCCTGACCCCAGTTGTTGCAGGTTCTTGTCTTTCAGCCTTTTGACATTAAAATGCTTCTCATGGCCTTCTTTTTAAACAGCCTTTCTCTTGGTTTGAGGAAGGCTGGCCTGAAATATGCCACTGAGCACGTGTATCGTCCTGGAAAGTATTCTTGGGGCTGGTGCATTATGTCAGGCAGAACTACTAGCTTCCAGCTAAATTGGCAGAAATCAAGCTGGTCCTGGGGGAAAAAAAAAAAAAAAACAAAGCTCAAGTTGCTCTGCTGAAAACATGCTATTTGTACATTTCTCCAATGTATTTCTCTCTCAGCAAGACCGTATTGACTTTGGCCTTGAGTAGCGTGTCTGGAAGGGACGGGCTGCATGTAGCAGCCAGGTGTCCCTCCTGCCAGCCCTCGTGGTAGTCACAGGGAGGGAAGGGTTTGTTCCTGACTTGGATCTGTGTGTTTGCAGGAGTCCAGCCAGCAAGCTGAGGTTCAAGAAGCTGAGCTTCCCACACCAGATGTGTTTGTTGAGAAGCTCCCGCCCAGCGGGAAGATCACCAAGACGGAGTCCCTCATTATCCCATCCACCAGGTAGAGCAGTGGCACGGCATTGCACCTGCTGCAGGGCTGCTTGGGAGGATGTGGACAGCCTGCTAGCCTTTGTTCGGTATGGCCTCTAGGCATCGACTGCAAGGAGCCCATCCTTGTGTCCAGGCACTGAGAGGTGGGCCTTGGGCACTTGAAAACCAAGAACCCTGAAAAGGAATACTGCCCTGATGTTGCTCTGGGATGTTTACTCTGGGGCTGCATGCTCAAAGATCCTGTTGTTGGATCAGCTGATGCAGATTTTGGCCGTAAAGGTGGTTGTCAAGTCTAAGTTCCCTAATAGGGGAGTGAATGTGGACTTCAACAACCACACCATGTAGTTCATTTGGTTATTTGTAAGCAAATAGATGCTCTTTTGAAGAGGTATTTCTGTGCTGCTTTTGGGTGTGAGTCTACAGTTTGTGTGGATGGTTCATATTATGCTGTGATTAGCGTGGTGGTGGTGTGTGTCTTGCTGTGGAAGTCTGCCTGTGACTCTGAGGACACGATGACAACATTCTGTGTGACTGCACCATTTGCTCTATAGCTTCTGCGCCATCGGAAGCAGAATTAACAGGTCTCAAGCTAGCTCAGGTTTACATGTGTGAATCTCCAGTGCTTGGAGTCGCGTTGCTGAGGTTGACAGATGAGGGGGATCTAGGGAGTCTGGGGGGTGAATTTTGCTCAGGTATGAGCCAGGTCTAGAATGAAAGCATTTCTCTCTAGCAGGTCTGAAGGGAAGCAGACGGGACGCCGGGGAAGAAGCACATCTCTGAAGGAGAGGCAGCCAGTGAGGCCGCAGAATGAGAGAGCAAACAGTCTGGATAACGAACGATCTCCAGACACCCGGCACCACTTACAGGTGTGAAAAATATTTCTCTGTCTCCAGCCACTCATGGCTTTTGTGTTCTCCATCTGTCTACTGTGATCGCTTTCCTTCTGGCCCAAGTGCTGTCCCTGCTGGAAAGGTACAGGACCTCACAGCTCCAGGAAGGAGGAAATTTACTTCTTGGCTGATAATTGTACCTTCCATGCTGTCTGCTGGGCTTTGCCAGCTTGTTGCCAGCCATAAATTGAAAACACTGGAACAGATTGTTGTGATGAGGAACAAATAGGGATGTTTTGAGGAATTACTCCCTTGAAATAAGGGAAATTACTCCTTTGAAATAAGGGAAGTTGCAAAAGGGGACTGATTTATGCAGAATATCTCTGTGCCATGCTCTTGCTAACTGCAGGACTCGGTTAATTCCCTCCTGGACAGAGATAGTTGCTGGTTTCTGTAAATCCAGAATTCCTCGAGCTACTGTTAGTTGATATAAAGTGACTTCAGGAAAAATGCATTGTGGAAGGAGTAATGGCTGACAAAACCAAGGTGGCTAATAAAGGAGCCTGCAGAATATTGCAGTGCTGAAGAAGCTGACAAACGTCACTGCCAGTAGTCGATGTGTCCACTAGCATGTATTGCTGATGGAGTGACCAAGAACTGGCCAGCCCACACAGAGCCACCACTCTCAAACTGCAGGAGCTGGAGCTGCTGGGATGAGGATTAAAGCTGATATCTTCTGTTGTTCTCTTCTGTATCGTCATTTCCAGATCCCCAGGAAAACGGTGTATGACCAACTAAATCACATCCTGGTTTCTGACGACCAGCTGCCAGAAAACATTATTCTTGTCAATACTTCTGATTGGCAAGGCCAGGTAAATGCACAAGACATTATCTGAAGCACTGTTCTTCTTGGGAATTGACCTTTACCACTAACCAAGTAGATTCTGCAGTGGTGGTTCATGGGGGTGGCACTATATTGAAGGTTAATTGCCTACACACAGAGTTTCACCAAGAGATGCTATGGATTTTGTAAAGCTTTGTCAGCTCAATCTTTTCCCAGAGACTTTCTCTGTTCTCTGAAAGGCCATTTCTTCTGGTTAGCAGCACAACAGGTATGGCTAGAGCCTTGCACTCAAGAGCTTACTTCTCCACTATGGTAGGAAGGGATAAAGGAAGCAGGGAGGGCACATCTGTGGTTTAGACTGATGTTGCTGGGCACTGGTGATGTCCGCAGGAGAAAATACTTCAGCATTGTTGATTTGCACATATTTTTGTGATTCTTGTCTGGGGATGCATTACCACATCTTTTCTTGGTGTGTGGTGTTTGCGTTAAGGAGAGCTCTGAGCGCTGCTCTCTCGTACTGGCAATGTGGGATCGTTTGCTTTGGGTTTGGGTGGGGTGTCAGAACAAATTTTGCTCCTTTCTGAACCTCAGTCTGAGACAGCAATAAAATATATAGAGAAAAGGCAAGTTAAATATGTACTGGTTGACTGTGGGCTGTAGAACTTTTGCCAGGTTTGTGGAGTTATGTTGGCTGGTTCTGCTCTCTGCTTCTAGTAGAATTGGGGTCTCAGTGTCTGAGAGATCAAAAATACCAGTTGAGTTACAGGTTCCAAGTCACTCTAAGCATGGAAGAGGGAGAAATGCCATCTAGAGATGGAGAGAGAGCTGTGCAGGTTTCTTCCAGCAATGTATATGGTATCAGATGAGATGATGATGGCATTGGCTAGGGTGTGAGGAGTAGTGGTGCAGAATTTGAAAGTGTGAGATAACTGTGGTCACTTGTCAACATTTTATCCATATGTACTTCAGGTGTATGTTAACTTTTTTCCCTTTGAGCTGCATGGAGGGGGAAAGGTCCAACACAAGGAATGTGTGTTGGTAGCACTATTTTTTGTTGTTGTTTTGGTATTCGAGGGTAGGCAAAACATTAGAATATTGTGTTTGTCAAGTCCTTTTAAATCAGAGAGCACCGCATGTGCAGGTCTGCAGGCAGGTAAGTAGAGAGCATCTGCTCTTACCCAGAGCTGTCTGCTAGGCAAACAGCCTTCTGCTGCTGCCCTGCTCCCTGCGGCCGTGAGAACTGCTGGTCTAGAGTCATCACTGCCAGAAATGCCATGTTTTGGATGTAGTGTTCGTGTTTGTCAAGCAGTGCTTCCATCTTTGTAGAGGAAAAGCTTTTCTATGGCTGATGCACAAGGAAAAGGTGTCTGGGAAACAGTTGCATCACCTACACATCGGACACGGGGAGAGTGCCCACACTTTGCTGTGACAATCCATAGGAGGCTGGGGGGAGGTGAGATTTTCACGTGGCAAACTGTAGCAAAAAGGACTTTAACGTGTTCTGTTCTCTCCTCAGTACCTATCAGATGTCTTACAAAAGCATACCTTGCCAGTGGTCTGCACGTGCTCCTCAGCTGATATTCAGGCAGCTTTCAGTACTATTGTCTCCAGGATACAGCGATAGTAAGTGACCCTTTGCTTCTTTTGGTTGGTGAGCCTCCCGCAGGAAGGAGGGCTGGCAGTCTAAAAGCCTCTCAGCTGCTGTGCCCCAGTGCTCAGGGAGATTCCCATCCAACAGTGGGGGAATACTTCTCCCCAGTTTAGTCTCCTGAAATCTGAATTGTGTGGTTCTTCAGTAGTCGCCAGCCCTGCAAAGTTGTTGCTGTTTTGCCACATGTGAGGACACAAATCTCTCTTCATTGACTGAATTTAAGAGATTGTACTTTGTAGGCTGCCTTCTCTGTCAGATCTAATAACCAGTAAAGCATGTGAAGATAATAGCTTTAAAAACATTTTTTTTTTTCTTCCCTTAAAATAATTCCCAGATAATGTCCTCAATTCCTTGAGGCATTTCCCAGCTATCCACTGAGGGCTGTAGGTATATTCCGACGCAGCTGTTAGTTGCAATGGGTACATCCCAATGTAGATTGTTCATACAACCCTTTATAAACTATCAAAATTTGTGAAAAAAGCAAGAAGACCAATTAAGAAAGTACTGAACAATGTTGCATTTTGTTAACAATGTTTAAGCTGCTGATAATGATTGTGATATTGCCTTGTGTGTTGAACGAGCTCTCTTCTGCCTTGGTTGTTATTAACCCATTTTTTTGACTTGTTCTGATGTAGTTGGTTGGAAGCACAATTATGAACATGTTCCCTCTTTTTCTGTCTAGCTGTAACTGCAATTCTCAGCCTCCAAACCCCATTAAAATTGCAGTGGCCGGAGCCCAGAATTACCTCAGTGCTGTATTGAGGCTCTTTGTAGAGCAGCTGTCTCACAAAACCCCAGACTGGCTCGGCTACATGAGATTTTTGATCATCCCTCTAGGTAAATAAGGAACAATTTTTCTTCGTAGAAAGATGAATGGGTTAAATGTGATGTGTTCCCTTAGCAGTAGCCCTCGTGAAAGCTTTGGCCAGGTATATGGTTGTTAAATGAGGCAAATCTCATGCTGGCATAGCGTTGCTTAATGCTTGCACTGCTCTTGTGTGAGTGAATTTCATCTTTATTCTTGATGTCAAAGTCTGCTTGTAAACCTTTTGCCTACCATAAGGGGTTGAGTCCTTTCTCCCACAGGGGCAGGCTCATATATATACCTTATTATCATGGTACAGTGAACGCACAGAATAAAAGAGTTTCTAGAGTCTAGAAACTCTTGCCCTGACTGAAATCTTTAATTCATTGGGCGCTGTGTTTCCCAAAGCAATAACTGTTCAGGCCTTCCTGAGGCTGACACAGAAAATGTTTATTATGGAGGGGGGTAGAGATGAAAAATGTTAAAAAGGCTCTGAAACTGCTGAGAGTTTAAATTATTCAAATTACATGCATCTTTTGACCTTTCCTTCACGTGCTCTTCTCCTCGAGTTCTTTCCTCGGTTTTCCAGCACCTTATCTCTGCCCTTCCAACAGCTCAGCAAGCCTGCCTGGCTGGGAAGTAACCCAGCTTGGATCTCTTGTGTCCAGGGAAGTGGTGTGCACTGATAACAACATCAGGGGTCTTATTGTCACAGTCAGAAATGTGAGGAATGCTGGAGCAGAGATGTCTGGGCAGCCAGGCAGTCCCTGGTGCTTGTGGGCAGGGGAATCTGGGCAATGTTGGTGCCATAAGTGTGTGATGGCAGAAGTTGGTCCAGTCCAAGGCCTGGCTTCAGTGAGCGTGAACAGGGCACTTAGGTGACATGACACAGGCAGCAGTAACCTTGAAAAGTGATTTTTCCAGTCTTCTAGGCTTGGGACCAGCTGATGGCATTTGCTGTAGGAGTCAAGCTGCTGCCCAGCACCCTGAGCAGTGGATAGAAGGCTGTTGATTTGGTGGTGAGATGTGCAGAAGTGAAAAAGACAGGAGCCCTGGATCCTTCTGTAAGGAAGACATTTAGTTTCCGAAGTGGTTGGGAGCAATAGGAGAGAGAACCCTTTAGGGGACAGAAACACAAAAAAGAAAGATTTCTGCAGGCTTCAATTTGCTTTGAGTGAGAGTCTGGCTGAGGATTTGGGTCCTCACATGCTGCCTGTCTCTTAACCTTCAAAAAAGAGTTTTCTGTCCTTCAGTCTTTAATGGTCTGAAAATACAGTCTTTTTGAAACTCATACACAAGATTTAGCTAGTGTTTGGGGGCTTTGATGTGTTTATTTTTTTAACCTTAAAACTTCAGTCATTTAAAAAATAAAGCACTTTCAATTGATAATGGAACTGTGAATGTTTCTTGAATGTGCTTTAAATATAGAAACTTCTCTTCTATCAGGGCCTTTCCCATAGAAGTCTGCAGTATTTCCTGATTGGATCAAGTGCTTATTTCTGGCACTTCATTAAAGTGATTGAGCAGCAACGTCTTCCTCCTGACAATTGAAAAAGCACCAAAGACAAGATGGGGACCATGCCATAAATGTCTTAAAGGAAAAGATTTCTGCTGTTAGCAGCACCTTCAGGGAGTGGTGGAGTCTTTTCTAAGGTGGCTTTACCTTCAGCTACATGCTGCAGGGACAGCAGAGCCAACCTGCAGTGGTTTGTTGGCACTGAGAAATGCTGCTTGGCTGTAAATGTCTGTACTGGGAGATTCGGTCCTGCTTCGTGCTGCCAGTTCTGTGGCTGAAAGACTCCTTTAATGCCCAAACTAGTGGAGAGACAGGTGAAAAGACGCAAGCAAGAGAAGGAAAAAAAAAAGTTGGGATTATTTTGACCGTAGTTTTTAAAAAAAAAACATTTTATCTAGCTCCCAGGGATACAACTTGGGATATCTTTTGTTTAGTGCTCGTTTCCAGCTGCATCTGCCATACATGTGTGGTGTGTTTTTCCAGCATGTGGGAAAGCTGTCACTTCTCCAGCGTGTGACGCCGAGCTGCTCCACGTGCGCTGCTAAAAACGCCACAGGAAAAGAAATTACAAGGCTCAAAGCAGCCATTTCCAGCAGGCTCCAGGGGAGAGCTAGGCCTCGGTTTGTAACGACTCTGAGGGGAACTCAGAGGCCGTCTGCTTAAACGTGGTGTGGAAGTCTGAAAATGAGCACTGGTTTGGAGGGTGAGAAGCAGTGGGTTTTTCCACAGTGAGCTTTAGATGTGGATGGTGAGCATATTTAAGCAATCAGGGGTGTTTGGGGCCGGAGCTGTCAGGTTAGCGATTACCAGCCGATGACACAGCTGTTGTGGTCTCTGGAAGTGAGGCTTAATGTGAGAAATCAGCGTGCAGGAAGGACAAAAATAGGCTGCTGAGGAGAAGCTCTGAGGCCTGTACAAAGTGTGAATGTACAAGGCTCATGCTGAGCATGGAAAGAGCAAAGCCTGAAACGTGGTGGCTGGGCAGAGCAGCCCTGGCACACCTCCTCTCCTCTGCTGGAGAAGTTGTTGTAAGAGGAGGTTGTCCGAGCTGGGGACACATGGCACCTAAAATGGAAGTGGCAAATGTTTTGACCTCTCCCAGGGCAGAGGCGGTGGCTTCAATGCTTTCCCTCTCCTGCTCGATGGAGGGTGAAGGCAGGTCTCCAGCCAGGGCTGCAAGCTGCAGGCAGGACACAAAGTTGGTGAAATTAGGTCTTTTCCATTCTCTTAGAGGAGCACGAGGCTTAGCTAGGGCAAGCGGGGACCTGATGCATGTGCCAGCATTCACCGGGACTGTAATCCTTGGGCTCTGACTTCTGTCTTTAATTATAGCTTATATATTGCATTTATGGCCATTTTGCTGCTCCTCCTATTAAACGAGGCTCCCTGGGTGGTTTTCCCTGGTTGCAGGTGATCTCCTCTCCTCTGTTGCAACAGAGCAATGGTGTGCAAATGGTGTTTGGAGGAAGGATCTGTCTCCTGTGGCCACAGTGCCCGTGGGCATGAAGGGCTGTGGGGCCAACCTCTCTCAAAACTGAGTGATGGAGACAGAGAGCCACGGGGCCTCCGTGTCTTCCAAATCATTTGTTTCCTCAGCAGTTTCGCAGTCCTGTTTTCCTTGGCTTTTTAAAGTTTAATTTGGCGGGAGGGAGAGGGGAGAAGGGAAGGTGTCACTGAAAGTGGTGCTGAAGCAATCTCTCTGCTGGGAAGTCTATTTGCATGCTTTTGTAGAGATAAGCTGGACTACATTTTGTTGTTATAGTTGAAGAAACTTATTTCTGGGATGTCTAGTATAGTTGGATTTTGGAATTTAATTCCTTGCAGACAAAAAGAAAAATATACCTGCGTTCCGTGCTGGGAAGAACAACTGTCATGTTTTCCTTTCTTTCTTAGGATCTCATCCAGTGGCCAAGTATCTGGGGTCTGTAGATTATAGATACAACAACTTCTTCCAAGATCTAGCCTGGAGAGATCTGTTCAACAAACTTGAAGCACAGACCACTGGTAAGACCGTGAGTCTGTGTCTGGCCTGTGTGGGATAAAAGGCTCGAATAAGTAATTTTAGTAAAGGTCAAGTAAATATAAGAGGAAGCAGACAAATGTTTTTGTTCCTCTTTTTTCCTAACTCCACCACATTCCCTTTTCAGATGCTGACCTTTGTATGTCCTCCGCTTGGTGGTTTGCAAACAGCTGTTGGCTCCAGGACGCTAGCTGCCTCTGAGTCACTCTGTTTTTACCTAGCTCTCAGCTTTGTTCTTTGGTGAGGAGGTCTCACAAACCACCACGTTCAGTACATTGCTTTCTGTGACCCTTCAGAAATCGTCCAGCCCAAAAGATTCCAAAAACTGTAAACTTTGGGAAGATTAACTTCTGTTAGTTGCACGGGGGAATGACCTTGGCATTTCTGAAATCCGCTGGCAGGATCTTTCTCATTAAAAAAGAATTTTGTTCTTCACCAGTGCTTGTAACATGTGAGAGCTGCCCTAGGTCAGATCAACAAGTTCCTGTTCTGATCTGAATCTGTTCTAGGCCAGCATAAAGCCTTGCTGTTTGTTAGAGTACTGAATTGCTTAAAACATTAATGCTTACAGTTTTTCCTTCCGTTCATTCGAGAATGGAGAGAAACAGGCAAAAGGAGGATTTTCGTCCTTCATTTAGGGCTACATGAAGGGTTGAAACTGGAACGAGGAGCGATCCTCTCATGGTGGCATATCCCCTATGGGAATTTCACTAACAGGAAAAAACATCATGGCCTTTGGAACATTTGCATGGGTGGAAGGGTTGCAGTGTGGTTCTCCTGTTGGAGTTGTAGAGGGTGCCTGAGGCTCCTTAGGGAACAGATGCTCATGGAAGTCCTCTAGCTGTGAGAGGAGGAACGAGCATCTTTGCAAGGGATTGTTCAGAGCCTTTTCCAGCAGAGGGGAACTTGTAAGGACAAGGCCCTAGGCAGCCTGTTCTGGAGGTAAAGTTAGCCCTACTTGGAGCAGGGGGCTGGACTAGAGATCTCCTCGTGTGCCACCCAAACATTTTTCCTTGATTATGAGCTCATGGAAGAAGAGATGCACAGAACAGTTGTCTTCTAATTCCTTGAAAATGGAGACAAATGTCAGTACAGATTTGGCTTTTGTGTCTGCCTTTTAGGGATATTTCATTACTGTAGAGATCCAGCTCAAGAGCCTTGTTTGTTCTTTGTAGATTGTATGCTGCAGCCCTTTTTTACTTGCCTGTGTGCTATGAGGAAAATGCATCATCATTTTTGTGCCATCCAGGCCTTGTCGATTCTCCAGATTTATATATAGAGATGAATATAGGATATATATATATATATATATATATATGCATCTATATGTATATTTATATATTTATATATATATGTGTATATATATATAAATAGCCATACAGAAACCCTGTGATGGCATAAGACAATCTGGCAAACAATGATAGCTTTTCATTGCTCTCTGATCAAGAAATTACAAGAAACTCTGGGTGAAAATGTTCATTAAACCATGGAAGAGCCTGGTGAGGGTAACTTGCATTCCCACCATTTCACAGTTGAGATGCTTTTTCTGAAACAAAAGGAAACGGAAAGCATTTAGGAAATGCCTTCCTGTCAACTGGAATCACATGCACTCTCACAGACTTTGGGCACGCTTGCTGCTACACAAAAATGATCTTTGTGCTCTCCCATCCTTGCATGCCTCTCAGTCTTTCCAATGGGCTCAGCAAGGCTATGAGTTCTGTAGGAAATCAGGTAACGCAAATGCTGGTGTGAGCACAGCAACTACCCAAAGCCCTGGGAGAGGTAACTAGGCACCTACTTCAGCAGATATACAGTCAAGGTTGGAGAAAAGTCTAATAAGCAGCTACACGTTTTCAGATAAAAGTATTTTAACAAGTTTCACCATAACACTTCAATAAATAGTGCTGTGCCACATGCCTGTGTATCTGGTCTGCCTTCCTAGTTGTTTTTTTTTGCACTCCTGGAGGTTGTTTGCTTTTGTTTAGACACCTTCACAGTCAGCTTCCCTTGGAAGATGCAGTTGAGATGAAGCTGGCTGGGTACCATCAGCAGCTTGGCTGAGCAAATGGAGGGCAGTGCTGGTGATGTTCTGAGAAGTCACTTTGTTGATTTTCCTCTCTTCTGTTGCAGTTCCAGAGGCACCTGATGTCGTCTCCAGAATAACGCAGTATATAGCAGGGGCAAACTGTGCACACCAGTTGCCCATTGCTGAAGCAATGCTGACGTACAAGCAGAAAAGGTATGTTACTAACAAAACGCTCGCTTTCCAGAATGGCCATCATGTTGAAGTGAAGTGCTTTACTTGTCTTGTGTGCCAGCAGCTTTAAAGTCACTCCAAACTGCAAATACCGTGGGAGCCTCAATGTGTTGCCCTTAGACAGTAGTGAACCTGCAGCAGTGTGGGTCATTAAGCACTGTGGTTTCTTTAGAGACCTGCAAGGTTTGAGGAAGTAAGGTTGTGGGACTGTGGCATGCCCTCCCCAAAGTATCTTCTATGCGATTTGGCCTTTTTGCACTAGTATCAAGAGAACTGAAAGCCTTTCTTTTTGGAGAGTAAATAGCAGATCTTCACACAGGGGAGACAAAGTCCTTGTTAATTGGCAGTTGCAGGCTACCGGCACCCCTACTTGGGAGAGCTGACATTGACCAAGTTTTATTTCAGCTGCTCTTAAGGGATAAACAGCCTGTCAAGGAACTGGGGTCTGAAAACAAGATTCAGAAGTATGTAGAGCCTCATATAGCCGTTGTCTGTGAAGAAGAGTAATTTAACACTGCAGGAGAGAGAGAGATTGTTTCTGAGGCACAGTGGAGAATGAGAAACTCTAAATCACACAGATCCCAATAACTTTTCAGAGTGGGATTAACACCCACATGTGATTTTTCTCTGTTCAGAACCAGCAATATTCTGTGGGGCATGGATGGTTTTAACCATTAATGATTACCCATCCCAGGTTGTATCTGATCTTTTAGATACAGCTGGTCTATTAACAGCTCGTCTGTTAACAACCATCACTGGTGCCTCATTTGCTTACGAACCGGGAAGGATTTAAGGAGGGGGCAGAGTCACTTTTTTCCCTCTTCTTGGAAATATTTATTGCTGGTTGGAATTGCTTTTCCGATCCTCTGTCTGTTCTGCATTACTTTGCAGAAATGATTTAGTGAAGTTTAGCCCATTCATTATGCTCTCCTAATGAAAATATTCTAGATTGACTGGTCCATTAAAGACAATACATTCTCTTCGCGTGTTTGTGAATTTCTGTAATGTTAACCTGATAAAAGTGAAGTTTGGAGAGCCATGGGGAGCTCAAAGCTCTTAGCTTCAGTCTTTTTTTGGTGTTCTTTTTGGTGTGACGACTTACCACAGTTACAAATACAAAGGTCAGTCACCCCTAGTGGAGCATTAACCCCTTCTGAGGGCTGTTGTTTCTCTACTCCCTTCAGTTGCTGGGTTCTGCATGAATCTCCACTGCTTTCTCCATTCAGTTATAGGTTCATTTTTGTCATTGATGCACAGTTAATCATTTTGAGTATCTAGAAAGACCAACTAGTGTATTTTGTTGAAAAAAACCACCTGAAATCTACTTCAGCAACACACACACCCCTCTCAGCTGTGCGCATGACCTCTTTTCCAAGCTGGTCTCATCCATTTGGATTTTAGACCTTGTGGACCTTGCAGTGAGATGTTTGCCACTGCTGAGATGGTTCAGATCATGCTGCAAGTTCCAACCTTGCAGGAGGTTGCTTGGAAGAGATCACTGAGACTGAATCAGACCTGTGGCATAGCCTACAGTCTTTTAGTATCTGTGGCCACTTTGGAACAGCTTCCACATTTAGCCAAGTACCACATGGGTAAACTGCAGGGTGAGCTAGAGGAACGAGCTGTCCCAGGGAGGGATGGACAGTTCTCTCTTCACGTGGCTTTCTTTGGAAATACAGCGATCTGTCATTGTCAGTACTGTGGAAAAAGAACACAGAGATTGTGTTTCCGTTAGCACTATCTGTGAATTCCTCACTTTGTTGTAAGTATAATAACATCTTTATCTTTTTCTTTGGTTGCTTTCTGAAAAGGAAAAAGAGCTTTCATTTTGATTTTACTCTAAGGTATCAGTTCCTTTTAGGTTCCCTCTCCCATCTCCTGTCTCTCTTCCACCCATGAGCTGGTCTTTTGTGCCTTGTTTAACAGTTCGTGCAGGTCTGGGATGCTCAGTTTGTGCTTCAGGTTAAATTCTGCTCGCTGCTTTGAAACGATGGCATTTGCTGGCAGAATGCATCATTAAAATAACCGCTCTGCCTTTGGGTCACACAGACGGGTTGCCAGGGCATACACTGAGTGGAGTGCAGGGGTTATTAAGGAAATAGCTTTGAGCAGTAAGTCACTGAGAAAGGTAGGTTTTTATCTCCCCTACTTGCTAGTTAATCCTTGCTGCTTGGTCACAGCCATCAGAGGGTGCAGCATAGCTCCAGAAGGATTAGGACTGAGCAAAGGTTTTTCATTCCCCATCCCCGCTGGACCTGGAGTGCTCTAGGTGGCACTCGCTGGCTCAGGGCATGCCTCGGGCCCCTGGGTTTGAGGCTTGTGCCAGTTGGGGTTCTCCCTCAAGGCCAGAGGGGAACTGGCTTCTCCAAGGCCACCTTCCAAGGACAATGGGCCAGGTAGAACCAGCAGCACGACCTACCTTAATTTAATTGCAAGACAAATCTCCCAGGATCCTAGCATTTGCTCTGTTAAACAAGCCCAAGGTCCAAGGAGAGCGAAGCCAGCTAGCCAGCCTGTAGGACGTAGCTGTGTGTGATGAGCCGCTTCCTAACTTTATCGCTAGCTGTCCCTGTTCTGACTGACCTCTGCTGTCCCTCCCGTCCCCTTGTTCTGTCTGTCATGCCGAGAGGCTGGCGCATGCACTGCCTGTGACGGGCTGCACATGGAGCGAAAGCTTTGTCCTGTTCTTTTGCAGCATCTGCTGGCCTTACCTGAAATTGGGGAGGCTGGGAGAGGGGAAGGAGTTCAGGAAGGAAATGCTTGTCATGTCGACCTGTCTGCATTGCACTGGGTGACCGACCTTGTCCCTGAGCACTGGGAGGGCTGGTGGTTACTGAATTGGCAAGGCAGCACCTGGGGAGCTGAGGCTGTGCTGGCAGAGGTGTGCCCCTCTCTGCTTGGCTTTCTTGAACAAAGCACCGTGGTATTTGAGATCTGACACTGTCAGAAGGTGCTCGCTGGATTGCTGCTCAGTTCTGTGTACCTGGGCTGCTGTCACCCACTGTAATTTGGCGTCCAGCACAGCCCATGCCATGTGGCTTCTGGATAGCCCTTGCATGAACCTGGGAGCAGCTTGGCTGTTGGAAAAGAAAGCGCTGCTCGCTTGTCAGGGCGAGGGCTGGGTTAGTTCCTACTTTGTGACGTGTTTATTAAAACCTGGTGTTGTAAGGAGAACTTAGACCGACTCTTGAAACACAAGGAAGTGCTGTGGGTTGGAAGGTGAGCCAGGTTCCTGGGCAATAGGGAACAGGGGTAATGCTGGTTTCTGCCTGCAGGGCAAGGAGTCCAGGTCCTTTCTCTGAGTGCTGCTGCTAAAACCCACCTTGCAGCAGCTCCTGAATGTGAACGCAGCTTGTGAAGACGGACCCGGTCCCTCCTCTGGCTCAGCGGTGCCCACATCACCCACCTTGTTGCTGCGTGAACCTCATGAAGCCAAAGGAACTAACAGGGATTTACGTGTGCCCTTCACCTGGTGCAGCAGTGTGGAAGAGGACAGAGTCAAGGCTCAGGAAATACCCTGGACGTCCTGTTGAGCGTGGCCAGCCCGCTGTGGGAACGGGAGCGATGCTGGCTGAGAGCTTCCACTGAAGACTTGGGGGGACAGGGACAGCGGTAGGCAGCAGAGAGCAGCAGCTCCTCCGTGGGAAGGGATGCTTCGTACCAGAGACAAACCTTGGAGGGATGGTGGTGGTGCCTGGCCTGAACTCGCACAGAGGGCTGCGAGTCCTGTCGTGGTGAAGTCCCTTCTTGCCTGTTGTTCCCCTGCAGGACTCGCTTGGGATAAAGCAAATATCTGAGACCCTCCTGTTAGGAAGTCACAGTTGTGTGGCTGTGTATGAATCTGCTCTGGGTTGCTTAAATTGGAATGAGATCTTGTGAAAAGGCTAACGGCGGGCATAAGTGGAGAAAGCGATTATTCAGTCTCCCTTACTGTAACCTTTGTGTGCTTTGTGGTTTATTTTGTACTTGGTCCCAGAAGTGAGAGAGATTATTCCTTCCCTTTGCCAGGTGGGTGACTCCTGGTGATTTGACTTGTTGTTTCTAAGAGTCTTAAAGCATCTAAATCTGCCCGTGTGTCTTCGTTCCATCTGAATTAATTTCTTCTGGTGGGGAGGGAGTATGTGAGTCTATTTCTGGACAGTTCACCTTTGAAGGATTGATCTCAGGTGGATGGATTTTGCTCAATCAGTACCAATAATTAGACAAAACCCATTCCAGATAAAGAAGAGTTTCTTTCTAGCCTCTCTGCACAGGTCTCTTTTTTTTATATTCCTCAGAAATGGAGAAGAACCATTAGCGATGCTGTTGAAAAATCACAGACAAGGGTTAGGGTCTGGCTATAAATTATAAGGGGCTGTGGTAGAAGGCCTTGGCTAAGGTGAGAGGATTCTGGATGAATGTTTTGGGATCCCAAAGGACAAGAAATTGGAAAGAGCATAAAAGATAAAGCGAAGAACAAGCACAGCCATCTCATCTGTACTTCGGTCTGCGTGAAGAGCAGCTGCTCTGATAAGCTGTGTTTTCAGAGGCATGCATGTGAGATCAGAGATCCCAAGAAGACGTGTGCCAGGACTAGCCTAGCCCAGCTGAAATCCAGATGGATTCCTTCAGGGACGGCCTGTGCATCACTGTGAGCTGCGATAAGTGGTGGCTGAAGCAAAATACTCATTTCACAGCTGCCCCTCGGCTCTCTGTGGTGAGAGTCTGAGCTCCCAGCGGAGCAGGAACAAGTTACCTTGCTGGAATTGGGCAAGGTTTGCTTTTCAAGAGCTCAGAGCAAAGCCACCCAGTGGCTGTGAGGTGATGAGACCGCGATGGTGCTTCCATCCCTCCCAGACTTGCTTCTTCTGCCTGCTTCGTGGCCCGTGGAGCTGAAGAAAGGAGCAGAAAGCTGAGCTGCTGTTCGTGCTTCTCCAACATCTGTGTGCGTGTTCTCCTTGCCCTTTGCAGAAGAGGAGCTGGAAATCTCATGTCCGTAGAGATCTGTTTGCCAGGGGACCTGCAGCCGTGGTTGGAAAGATGTGGCCTTTCTGGCTTCCAACCCCACACGGTGGGCTCTGCTTGCTGTGCTCTGGGGGAAGGAGGGAAGATGCAGTGCCTGGGGCTGAAGGCAGGAAGGAAGCAAAGCCCCCGGCTTGGCTGCAGACCTCGGGGCAGAGCGGAGGCGAGGCAGGAGAGGAGGCAAAAGCACCTCTGAGTCACGTTTCCTGCAGTTATGTGCCACTCCTTCCGTAGGGCCTAGAGGAAACTGTGCAGCCCCTGGTAGCCACAGGGTGGTTGGCAACTTTGGTGCGTTTCTGTGCTGCAAAGGGTGCAGAAATACCCGTTTCAGTGAGATATTTGCGCTGTGCTCCTGCAGCCCTGTGCTGCCCCACGTGCCTGCCTTCCTCCTCGCTCGGATCCTCCCCTCCTGTCGTTGTCGGTTCTCCCTGGCTCCTGCTAGGTGTGGCTGTGGCCTTCGTGGCTGGCCCGGTTGTCGTCACCCCGCCATCTTCCAAATCCCGAGGCAGGAGCAGAGCAGGAGAGGCTTGCAGAAAGCCGTGCTGTCCCCAGGCACCGTGTGCGTGCTGTCTGCCCTGGTGTAGCCGTGTGCTGTCCTCCAGCTGTGTCCCGACCCCCCCGGTACGCCCTGGGGCCTGTCTCAGTGGCTGCAAGCTCCCGGTGGCAGGGAACGTGCATCCACACGCGTGTGTGTGATGTGTGTGATGTGTGTGTGTGTCCGTACGTGCTAGTGCTGCCCCAGTAACCACGTGTCACGGCTTGTAACCCCGTGGCAGGCTGTAAACTGCTTGTAGCAATGCCGGGCTGTGCAAGGTATGACTCCCTCCCCAGGCGTGACGGCCTGCGCAGCGCTGCAGGGACTAGTAAGTAACGCCCCGCTCCCCGCCCTGTCGTGCCACAGGCCCGTCTCCTCGTGGCAGGAGCCCGTGTGGCTGTGCCCCTAAAGCATGTTTCTGTCTCGAGCACAAGGGAGACGCTTCCCTCGAGGGGCCTTCCCCCTCAGAGGCGTGCCGCAGGCTGTGTGCTCCTCCCCACCCATGCTGGCAGGGGGCCGTGAGAGGAGACCTTGGACTGGCGCTTGCACACTGTCCGTCCCCGCTGCATGCTGGAATGCGACGTATGAAGTGAGTATCGTGCCCGTGGAGGCGGGCTACTAACAACTCTTTTCTCTTTGCCTCTAGCCCCGATGAAGAATCTTCGCAGAAGTTCATTCCCTTTGTCGGGGTGAGTGTGTCTTGGTTACTGTCTCAAGCCACAGGGGTTCAAACCAACTTGTCACCTGCTTTTTGGGGTGCAGCAGGAGCACTTTCTTCTCACTCCAGAGAAGGAAGCGTGATGCTGAAGTGCTCCGACCCGCAGCCTGTCTCTGCTGCAGGCCAAAGCACCGAGTTAGTGGGAGTCACTCACTGCTGGCCACGTGCAGAGGAATGGGCTGTGTTCCTGAAAACCTGGCCTCAGGGTCGCTGTGCTGAACGTTGCCCTGTGTATCAGTTCAGCCAGATTTGTGTTCCGATGTCAGTCCTGTGTGCTTGTCATGAACAGTCTCCAGTCCTCTTAACATCCCCTCTGCTCCTGGGAAATGGAGGGTGCGTCCCTGTAGGGAGGTCACAATGCCACGGTTATGTTTGTCGGAGGCAGGAGGTGTGTAAGATATTTTAACAAGTGAGTATGTAGGGAGACAGTACGTATATAAGTAATATATATTGAGATCGTGCTCCCTGGTTTTCCTCCTGTCTTCATGCTCCCAGCTTGTGTGGCCAGGTGCAGAACGTGTTTGTGCACAATGTACTCTGCCTTTTCTAGATTCCTTCCCTTTATTTGATCATGCTCTTCAATTCCTTAAGTTTTAGGTATCCAGTCACTGACCTGTGGCCCAAAGGATATCCCTTGACTGCTCTTCAGCTGCTGGATGTCCTCTTCACAGCTTGTGCTGCTCTCCTGTAGCTTCTCTTTCTTGCATGCTGGTTGTCTTGTTTTGCCTTCTGTGTTAGGCTGCCTCGTGTGTTCCCGTTTGTATCCCTGTCAGTGCATCAGAGCTAATCTGAGACCCCGAGGAGTTCAGAGAGTTTATCCACTCTTGCACTCAGGCTGACCCTGCTTTCACTCTGGGGTCTCATCTCAGCACAAATCTCTCTGCGGTGCTCCTGTGATGCCGATACACCTTTGTTTGCTGAAGGAAAGATGTCTTCTGCTAAAGCACAGGCACATCTTCCTGATTTGCTCCCCGCTGCTGAGTTTTGCTGTGATATTGAACGTGTCCTGTGATTGCTGGTGAAGAACTGCTGTTAGGAAACAGCCGTTCACCTTCCCAGTGGCAGGAGAAGCCCAGAAGTGCTTGAAAGCTCCTGGATTCATCTTGCCGGAGCTGTTTAAGCTCTGCAAAGCTTTTCTTTGGGGCCGATTTAGTTCAGTGCCACGTGCAATGGGAGTGTTTGTCCGGCTCCTTTTGAACAATCGTTGTACTTACAGCACAGCACTTTATCCAGACTGGATTTGATTGTCTGAAAGGGGAAGAGTCAACAGGTCTGTTGTGTGTGTAATGCTGCCAGCCTCCCCAAATTTTGCCTTGGAGACATGGGTTGGCTTCCTATGTTGGCTGGGAGAGAGGGTCAAATTAAATGCTTCTTATTCCTGCCTCTGACATATTCCTGACACAGTAATTCTCCATGAGACATGTCCAAAGAGACTCGTAAAGGCCAATTACAGGCTTCTCACCAAGTACAAAGCTGACCATGAACTGTTCTGTCCTTCAGCTGCAGCCTGCTTGGAGCTGTTGGCCAAGGCGGGGAGGGAGCCAGCGATCTGTGGTTTTGTGTCTCCTGATGCTGCTTGGACTCTGTTGGTTTCTAGGCTGCAAAATCTTCTGTCCTGCAGCTGGGTCATGCAGGGTTTGATCTGGAATCAAGCAGGGCAGCTCCGTGCTGCTCAGCTGGGCTCTGAAGAGGTGAGAGCAGAGCCTCACGAGGGACCAGCCGGGCACAAAGGCTGGCAGAGAGGCTGCATCATCAGCCAGGTGCCAGGAGAGTTAACAGGATGCACATCCTTCCCCAGGGGAGAGGAGGTTGGCTGGATGGAGGCTTTGTTGGAGCTGCAGCAGACTCAAGCCCCTCCCTGAATGAAGGGAGGGGAAGGTGTTGAACCTCGTCTTCCTCTTGTGTCTGAGCTCGAGCATCATCAGGCAGCCAGCAGGAGGGAAAAGGCCAACAGAGATTTCCTTTCTGGCTTGCAGATCAAGGTGGCTGTAGGCAATTTGCTGTATTGCTCGCTCTTCCTCTGACTCTTCTGCCTCCCCTCCTCTTGTTCCCAGCTACTCAGTCTGCGAAACATCCTCCTGACGTTTAACTCACACAGCACGAGTGGTTGCTGGACTGCAGGGCCTGATTTGTTCCCCTCTGAACAGAGACTGACCAAAGCGAGCTGCAGCCCCTGCTAAGATCCCAAACTCCTTTTCCCAAGCCAGTGTCCTCTTGGGGAGCCACTGCACACATACAGCTGCGGTTCGAGATGGCTTTTCAGAGCCTGGAGCTAACAGAGTCTGACAGCTCTCTGACAGCTGGTGCTGAGTGTACAGCACACCCCTGCCCCTCCAGGAACTGTGCAGACTCCTTTGCTTCTAATGATGGGATCTTCTTTGCTCCTGTAATCTGCTCCTTGGAGATGTGCTCTAGACATGGTCATCCTGAACTTAGCCATCTTCTGTTCTCAAGCTAGATAGGCAAAGCAGCATAATTTCTCACTCCAAAACAAGTTTTATTGACTTGAAGTCATTTTGCAGCTCTTCCCCACTTGTCAGCACGTTTATGGTGCAGACTTTAGCCCTGCATACAGGTGTAAGGCCCTTAAGAAGGGTCTATTCTGCAGTGCGTAATGATGCCCATGCAGATTATCCCAACAGGGCCCTGCTTTATATCTCCGAGGGTCATTTTATCTCTCTAGGCTTAGTGTGTTCTTGGGAGCTTGCTTGCAGCATGCCCTGTTCCACAGGTTCCTGTTAGCTCTCTGAGTGTGCCATTTATTCTTGTCCTGGCTGCACTGACCGTTGGTTGTTCATACCAGAACACATTTGTGTCTGTTTTACGGTGTGATTGGGGTTGTTCTGAGCAGTACCTGTGATGTTTTATCTCATGTACAGTTGGTCTGTGCCCCACTGGCCTTGTGAGGAGCTTTATATTCTTTGCTGGACTCTTCTCTTGTTTGGAGATTGGACTCGTCTCTTGTTTGGAGATTTGAAAACTCTGTCTAGAGACTGTACTTTGTCCCTTTTGTGGTTTCCTAACAAACCCAAGCTACGGTGAGCCCTGGAAGCGGCTGCAGTTGTGTGGTGGAAGCAGTGTTAGCAGGTGCATCGGAGCGATGCTGAAGAGATGTTCCCACAGGTGTCACGGGCAGATCCTATAGCTGACACAGCCTGCGGCTGACCCTGGGCTAGTCAGAGCTGTGCAAGTCTGTAGCAGCTCTTTGGGGTCGGTGCTGTTTTTTGGATAATTCAGGGAAAGGTGGTGAGCTGGTTCAGCTTGGCTGGACACAGCTGGGACCTGCCTGGCCCTTACAAGACTCCGCTTCCTAGCATGCTTTTACACTGCTCTGCAGGGCCAGAGCCAAGGGGGGTGTAGGGTTGGGCTTAGTTTGGGAGGCGAGGGCTCCTGAAACTTACGGGATTCGTGTTTCATAGAGCTGTGCTGTTCTGTTCCCCCTTTCTAGGTGGTGAAGGTTGGAATAGTGGAACAATCCTCTGCAACGTCAGGTAACAAGCATCTTGTGGGTGCTTTCTTGTGTCATACGGACTGCGGGAGGCTGATTTCACGGGCTGAATGAGCTTATTTGTTGTTTGTGTCTCGAGGTTTTGTAAGGTGAAACCGCTTTTTATTAGCTCTCAGTTCTCTATTGCATTTAACTCCAAGTGGCCGTCCTCACCTTAAGAAGCCTTTTCTCTTGATGCTGTATGAGGAGCTTCAGGCCAGCTGAAATTCCCTCACCCTCATCCAGGGAACTTCCACTCAGATCTGAGCAAACCCCTTTTTTATGTGTCTTGTCACTGGGGTGGGTGCACCGCTGTGGTTATGTGAGGTTCCTGCTCTAAACCAGAAGGGGCAGCTCAGTCACCTAATAAATTCAGCATCAAACACGGTCCAACCCTGGGAACTCCAGGACAGGCAGCCAGTTTGCTTCTTACCCCAATACAGAACAAATACCCGCGTGGTGTGGGCATGGGGGCAGTCAGAACCAGTGAGCTAGCTGATCTCTGGATTGAGCCTGAACAAATCCAGCAGAGATCTGTGCAGTGTGTGGGCAAAGAGACTGAGCTGTTATCCTAGCGTGCGTGTGCTGGGCCCTGAGACAAACCCAGACAAACTGTGGCTTCTTCTCTGCAAGGTGACTCTGATGACGCAGCCCCCTCAAGCTCCAGTGTCCTTTCTTCTACCCCGCCTTCTGTGTCTCCTGCTGTGAAAGAAGCCTCCCCCACGCCACCTTCCTCGCCGTCTGTCACAGGCAGCTTCTCGTCCTCAAGGTAAAGCTTGTTTTGTCTCATTACGCTCCCCCTTGCCTGTGCTATGATACACACAGGGAAGAGGAAATCTGGTTGGGAAGGTTTGTGTTCTCCCTCTTCTGGTATTTGCCCTTTGAGACTGGATTCTGTTGGGGAGAGATGTAGGCCAAGAAAATACCTAATACACAGGATGTGGACATCACCCAGATGCCTGTTCCATAGCTAGCCTAATCCCTCACAATGGTTATAAAATGTTTTTAAGGGACTATAAGGGCAGAGGTGCTCTGTGGGAAGAGCAGGCTTTTTCTCTGTGGGGTTGTGAGCTGACAGCTGTCAGTGGCATAACGGAGCTGCAGTTTCCATCCGAGCATATCTGAATAGCAAGGAGACAGCACCTGTAGGCAACACGAAGCTCTGGCTTTGCTGAAAATTTTGCAGGTAAAGGGAGGAAACCAGGGGAAGATTACTGGAAAAAAATTGCCCTGAGCAGGCCTCTTGCTTTGTTGCCAAACAAGATGTTGCTTTAGCTGTGTTACAATTTGTGTGTGGTTCTGGTACCCACCTCTAGAAGCACGCGGTGCAGGGGAGCACAGGTAATGTGACCAAGGGGCTGAGCAGCGTCTTAGGAGGAGGTACAAGAAGAGCTTGGATTCCCCAGGTTTGGGGAGGAGGAGACAGGGAGGTAAGAAGCTCAAGTTTTGCAAAATCACCGTGGTGCTAGGTTTAGAGAATCCTGAGCTGTGGTTCACCAAACCTGTGGTACGAGGTCTGGGGGGACGCAGTGAGACTGGCAAGAGGTCGGTTAAAAGGGAGAAAGGAAGGGGATGCTGGCAGCAGGAAAGGTGGATTGGGACCACATTTTTCTCTGTTACTCCTTCTGTGGCAGCAGGATCAGCAGATCCAAGAGAGGGCAGGCAAATTCACGGAGAAGCAGATGCATCAGTTGACACTAGGGGGTGATACAGGGATCCCCTCTGCCATCCGTAATCCCAAAGAACGCTCTGCCTTCAGAGACTGGCTTCACATGCTCTCCCTAAACAGCATTTCCTACTTACCCACCACCCCAGAGGGCCCTGTGGGGCCCTTTCAAGCCTGTTTTAGATATCAGAAGTTAAAGTTTCCTTTAACAAGAGGAACTGGAAATGTGGAAGTCCCAGATTAGCAGGTGCCCAGTGACTGGAAGGTGTTAGTGGCCTCCTGGGGCAGGCTGAAGCCTGCTTCCCCCCAGTCCTTGCTGCTGAGCCCCTTGGAGCCTTCCTGCTGCCCAGGCAGGTCCCAGCAGCAGCTGGTTGGCACTGCTGGGGCTGTGCAGGCTCTGGAGAGCAGAGCTGGCTTCTCCCGTGTGAGTTCCCCACGGGCTTCTCAAATGGGGAAGTGGTTTGGGGACCCGTTAGGCTGTAAGAGCTGTGAGGCGTGGAGGTGGCACGTCTGAAGCTAACACCTCGGCTTTGGGAATCGGGTACTTTTTAGCCTAGTGCTCTGCGGTAAAATCATCAAGAAATGAGGAAGTTTAGGTTCAACATTATTCCGTCTCCACTGATCCGTATGTGACAGCACAGGGGGGTGGAGGGTGACCCAAACTGAAAGGTTAACCCATGTGTTTAACTAGGGATGGAGCAGGATGTCCTGTGCAGGCAAAGTGAGCATAAAAATGCTTTGTCTTTACAACTGAAATGAGAAACGTAGAGCCTTAAGACTCGAAGAAACTACAACTTTTTTATTAAAAAAATAATAATCTCAGTTTGGAAGTTGTCCTGAGAAATCAAACCCTGGTTTTGGTGATCCAAGATAAACTCTGCTTTGCTGTCTGGCTTCAGATGAGTAAATGACAAAGAAAAGGAAATGATTTGCAGAGAGGACTGTAACAATGGTCCGTCCTTGCTTTACATGAGAGCTTCTTTTTACAGAGGGGATGTAGACGGATGCTTATTTTATTCAAGAGCACAGATTCATAATTTTTTTTAACAATTGCCATTTCTCAAGCAGGGCACACAGTTAAATGTAATTAGCCAGCAGACTGGTAGATAAGATTTTGTCATATTATTCAACACCGTGTCGTTGTGTGGGAAGAAGCACGGGCTGTAGGTCAGCTGCAGGCCCACTGATTGGGAACCCCTGATGCAGAGGCAAGGGGCGGGCAGGGAGGGCGGTGGAATTTCCCAGGTTGTTCATCTTCCCTTTTCTGGCTCAAGAAAGGCAGGCAGCATGTTTTGGTGACACATGTCTGTTACCACACAGTGCGCGGGAGTCTTGGATAGCACGTTGTGTCCTGAAATCTGCCGTTGTTTAGCAAACATGGCAGGACGTGCAGAGCCTTTTCCTAGCACAGGAATTCCCCAGCCTGCAGCAGGGCTGTGCAGCCGATTGCCCTGCGCCAGCTCTGGGGCAGGGACCTGGGAGATCAGGGCTGCTGTGTGACCTGGTGGGGCATTAGGACAGGTGCCTGTCCTCTCACCGTCTGCTCAAGAACAGCAGCCACTCTGAAAAAACACAGATGGGGAGAACTTTGCTGCCTGCCGCACAGAAATGATCATCTTGTCTTGTTTTCTAGCCAGAGCCTTGGTGCTGAGCTGATGGGCCTGCAGGTGGATTACTGGATTGCAGCTCCACCCGTGGACAGAAAGAGAGACCCGGAGAAGAAGGACCCCTCCACTACCAAAAACACACTGAAATGCACTTTCCGGTCCCTCCAGGTCAGCAGGTTACCTGCCAGCGGTGAGATTGCCACCACTCCGACCATGTCCATGACTGTCGTGACAAAAGAGAAGAACAAGAAAGGTAGGCTGGACGCGTTTGCTGCTGCCAGAGGCCAGGAATGCAATGCTGCTCTCCTTGTTCTGCCACTCTGAGGCTGACTTGTCAGTCCCTCATTACAGTGACTTACTCATATTTTTAGCCCCCAAATCCCTCGTCTGTCTGTAGATGAGAGGTGGTTGTGTAAGGTGATAGTTTGAAGGGGTGGCTCCTCGTTGTGCTGTAAGAAGGGGATGTCTTCACACCTCCAGCTGAGCAGCTAAGGTGGCAAAGCCCAGAAGAACAAAGGTGGGGACGCAGAAAGGTCATTTGGGGGTGGCTGTGCAGAAAGCCAGGAGATGTGCTGCTCTGGACAGCTTCCCTGTGTTGTTTGTCAACCCACAGGTATGGGTTTGGGGTGTTTAGATAACGGGGAGCTTGTGACCATGACCACCAGACCCTGCAGCTCGTACAGCTCCCTGCTGTGCTCTCTCTGGTGTGTGGCAGAGTTGCAGAGAGAATTTGGACATCTGTGCATCCCACCATGGGGCAGAGTGTGGCAGCAGCCCCAGCAGAGCCGTTTTGCTGGGTTTGTCGTGGTGTCCTCACGTTAGAGTACAGCTGCCACAGCCAGACCTGCCGATTCCTTGCTCGTCTTTGGGGGAGGTGGTGTCGCTCCCAGCAGGTTTGCAGCAACGCAAGCTCTGGTGCTCCTGCACTGAGTGCTTTGTGGGACAAGGAGATATAAAAGAGAAGTTCTCAGTGCAAACAAAGCCCGATGTTGATTAAGCTCATGGCTTTGAGTGTCTTTTTCTTACCAAAAAAATGCGGTTTAGATAGTGTCAGTAATTCTGTATCTGCATCTGGCCTTGGTAACGTGAAACATTAGGAATGGTGAACAGCTCTGCAGAGGAGCACTTTCAGGGAAGCAGCGAGGCAGTTCTGCACTTGCATTTGACTGCCAGTAGCTCTCTGGTGCAACATCTTCCTGCAGTCATTCCTGGTGGGAGCAGAGTTTTGGGGGCTCTGAGAGGAGGTTTGCAGAGCCTCCCAGACCCGTGGCTGCAGGACATGGGCACGTAACCCATGGGCGCTGTGCCTGGGAGCCACCTGCAGTGTGTGGGACTCCCCCTAGGTGGTGCGGCCGCCCGGCAGATCCCTGGCTGGGGATTGCTGCACATGCTGCTGCCAGCCCAGCGTCCCTGCAGAGCAGCAGGAGTCCCCCTGAAGCATCCCTGCGGGGCCTGGCTGTGAGCTGGGAATGCTTCTTGGAGAGACAGCCAGGCCTGAAGTCTTCGTGTGTAGAGGCGATGGTGCAATGTCACCTGGTCAAACTCCTGCCAAATGGGTTAGAATTAAAATCAAGGTTAGAATTTTGAGACGTGAACGTTTAAATGCAAAAACACAAAGGAGTGGTGGTACATCTCTTGTGAATGGCAGAGATTCACATTGTGCTGCTTTGATTTTCTTCCAGTGATGTTCCTGCCCAAGAAAACAAAAGACAAGGAGGTCGAGTCAAAGAGCCAGTGTATTGAAGGCATCAGCAGGTTGATTTGCACAGCGAAACATCAGCAGAACATGCTGCGGGGTAAGTGCGGCTTGCATCCCCTCAGGCTCCGGGGTGAGGCTCAGCTGCTAATGTCTTCCTGCAGACAAAGAGCTGAGCTGGTCTTCTGCCCTGTGCCCTGCAGCCAACGTAATGGGGGCCTTCCTGGGGAAGCACTTGCATGTGGGGGATTGCTTAATAGGTCTGGGATGTGGGAAGATCCTCCCTCTCCTAGGAACTCCTCTGAATCAGTGCCCTGGGTGAGGACAAAGACTGGGCCAGGTTCCATCTCCCCTCCCTGTCATTCAGGGCTCCTTGTGCACATCTGGGAAGGAAAAGGAATGGTGGAGGGCCGTGAGTGCCTGCTCCTCTAGGCAGGAGTCTGGCACAAAGGCACACCACAGTGATAGGTTTGCCTGCAGATGCTCTAAAGTGCCTGTCAGCAGAGCTGTGCATCCCATATCTGTACCCTGTCCAGTTAATAATCCCCAGTAATTCACTGTTAACTGCACAGAGATTTGCTTTTAGGTCACCTTCCTTAATTCTGGCCCGATCCCTGTGAGAGGGGTGAGCGTTAGGGGTGGTCGCAGAACATGTCACCTCTTTAGGAAACAGATCTCCATTAAAAGTGCAACGAGGAGAGACTTGTCTCCATCTCTATGAGAGCACGTTTGCTCAGAAAAAGAAAGCGGAGAGTGTTTAGGAAGCTGGAGGGATCAGATCAGGTGAAGCTAAAATCAGTGGTCTGGGGAGCTGTGGCGTCAGCGCGTAGCGATGATACAGGAGTGCTGCAGGAGCAGCCTGAGCTGTACTCCCTGAAGCTGGTCTGCACTCGAGCCTTTTTCCCTCGTGCCTGCAGCCACTTACAGAGACAGCAGGAGGGTGGCCGGGCAGAGCAGCTCGTACCCTGAGCGCAGAACGTGGCCAGGCTTCCCTCTGCTGACTGCAGGGAGATTTCTAGCAAAGCCGTTTCTGGCTGACCACTTCCACTTGCTATTTTTTAACTCACCTTCTTTTTTTTCTTCTCCTTTTTAACCCTCCCCTGCAGTCCTGATCGATGGGGTAGAGTGGAACGACGTCAAGTTCTTTCAGCTGGCAGCACAGTGGTCCTCTCACGTCAAGCACTTTCCCATCTGCATTTTTGGACACTCCAAATCTAACTTCTAGCCCCGCTCGGCGGAGGGACCTTCTGTCCGTCCCAGGGACTGCACACCAGGAGCCAGGAACTGCGTGCCAACTCTGACTCGCGTCGCTCTGCCCTCTCCTGCAGAATTAATTACAGATGTGCTTGGATTACTTTTGAATTACTTTTTTCTATTAACTCTTAAGTTTACTACAAGGGAAGGAAACCCCTTTAAACAAAGGCAAAAAAACAAAACAAAAACAAAAAACAACACAACAAAACAGTCTTAAATATAGATGTGCTGACAACAAAGCTGTGGGGGAGTTGGCAGGAGCAGGCAACCTGCCCGAGAACACCTACCACTTCCAAGCAGATAGCTGAATTACTGCACTGCTTATTAACCTGAGACCTCATTGGTGTGCGCGGGCCGGGGAGCCGCGGATCAGCTGGAACAGATTTTGCAGAAGAGCACGCACGTTACGATGCATTTGGCCCCCTCCCTCCATATTGCTAGCAAAACCAAGGGCCAGTCTTTCTTCCTGCTGCCAAAGGACGAGAGATCAGCGAGGCTGGAGGGAGCTCAGCGGTCTGGTTTGGGAAACAAACCGCACAGCTAGGGAGATCTAGAGAGGAGCTCGCCCTTCGGTGCACCGAGTCCGCCACGAGGACAGGCAGGTGACACCTGAGGAGGGTTGGGCAGGAACAGGAATTAGGGAAACACGAGGTGCAAGGGGAACTCCAGTGTCCCAGGTCAGTGACGACGACCAAACCGAGCCAGTCACCACGTCCCTGCCGCTGGCTGCGCTGCCGAGGGACGCCGCGCCAGTGGGGTCGCTGCTATTTACATACTCACCCCGGTTATTTACCTGTCAATAAAACCTCGTCCAGCCTCTAAAGGGAAAGGATTTTTTTAATAGCCGCAGATTTTTTTTAATGCTTTCTAAAAAAAGAAAAACAAATAAAAAATAAGAGGCGGGGGGGGTGGGGTGTGGGGTGTGAAAAATCCGATTGCCAAAAAACCCCCACCCCAAACCCAGAAGATGAGCCGTTGTCTGTGAAGTGATGCATCACTGTCGTGGCTGGAGTCAGGGCCGGCTCCGGCGCTCTGCACGTCCAGCTGCCTTCCCGTCCATCTGTCAGCCTGCACACATGAGGTCGCCTGGGCTGCTTTATCCGCTCTGCCTTTGTCCTGCTCCACCTGCGCCGTGCTCCCCGGAGCCAGCTGCTGGCTTCGCCTGGGTGTATGGTCACCCTGCCCAGCCTAACACCCAGGATTTCTCCGCAAGGGGTGCTGCGGGCAGGTGGCCTCCTGCGGGAAGCTGCCCTGACCGTCTGCTTTTTGGATATCCCTTCGCAGGGGCGTTTATTTCCCCGTGGGCTGCGTCCCTTCCCTTCCCAGCAGGATGTTTGTCCCTGCAGGGCACTGCCTGCGGGCTGAGGCTCTGCCACGAGATTCAGTCCCAAGCTGCAGCTGGGACACGGGGGAGGATGAAGGCAGCCAGGTTCGTTGTCCCTCCGGGGCAGCAAGGTGTCCTTGGGGGAGCTGGAGGAGTGAGGCTTGTGGTGTCTCGTGCCCAGGGCTCGTTTTGGCCTGGCTCTGGCTGTGTTTGTGTTCGCTTTGTGCATCTCGCAAGGACAAGGGGATGCTCCCGCAAGGTGTGGCAGGCAGCAGCTCCGGGCAGCCCTGGTGCTACGGATGTGGCTTTTTGCTCTCTGGGCTTCCTGAGGTGTTGGCAGGAGGGACTGGAAGCAGGTAGATGGGGCTGAGGGAGCAGCGTGTGCCTGCTGTGTCGAAAAGCAGATGCCTCTGGCCTTTTGGGGTGAGGGACTGAAGCTTTGGTGGGGTCCTTTGGGTCCCTGCCTTGTGAGCAGGTGTGGCTCCAAAAGCATTTCCAGAGCGTGCTTTCAGAGAGCAGTGATGCTTCTGAACCTTTCCCAGCATCCACTGGTCAGGTTTGGTTTTTTTTTGTCTTTCTTTTTTTTTCCCTCCTTGGTTTGTACAGGTCTGGAGAATTTGCTTCGTCCTGCTCGGTGGCTCCTGCCCGTGTGGCTTGGAGCAGGGTGCTGGCCGTGTGCTCTGTTGGGGCTGCTGCTGACGGGGAGCAAGGGGTCACCAGGCGAGAGCGTGATCCCTGCTGCCTCTGCTGCCTGTCGCGGGGCTGCTTCGCCGAGTTTGATTTCACAAAATCCTTTCCCAGCACAAGTGCACCCTGCCTGGTGGGGACGGGGCTTTCCCTTCGAGCCCCCCGCGGGAGGAGGACGCTGTGTAGTGCTGGGCAGGCCGTCTCGTCCTCTTGCTGTCCTCCTCCTCCTCCCCACGGGCAGCTCTACCTCCATCTACCTGTGCCAGGAGCTCAGCTCCGGTGCAAACGGCGGCGTGTGTCCACTGGTTCGTGCATTTTTGGCTGACCTGAGCTGATGCTGGAGGATTAAGTAGCGTTGCCTAGCAGCAGCAGCGTGGGAGATGGCGTATAAGCACATCGCTTTTCCCTTCTTTTTTTTTTTTTTAATTTTATTGAGGCTGTTGCATCGAAAAAAAAAGAAAAAGGTTTTTCGAGGAAATTAGACGGGACGGGACGGACAGACTGACCGCCTGCAATAACTTTGTTTACTGGGGAGCGAGGGGGGAGCGTGGCCGTGCTCCTCCCTGCGTTTTGACCTGCTGTACAGAACCAGAGGGTAGCTAGCGTGGGGTTTCCGTGGTCCTGCCCGTAAATGTGTGTTGCCCTGCGCTGCTCTGTGTGTGTGTGTGTGTGAGAGGAGAGCTCACGCTCGTTGCGTTTCACCTTGGTTTGCATTTTGTGCCACCTCTGTACCACCAAACTCCCCGGGAAGCTCTGCGCGCCCGAGGGCTTGCGTCTCCGCAGGGTTTGTGCCCTGTGGGTCTGGCAGCTCTCAGCTCTCCCTCCAAGCGAGCTCCTGCTCTCCCAGCAGGATTTGGGGTGAGCACCGGGGCTGGGAGCGTGGGGGGGGGAGAGGTGGCTGCGTGTGAGCTGCTGGGTGCAGACAGACGGCTGGGGGCAGGAGGCTGCATAGCCCCGTGTTCAGCTCGAGGGGTTTGGGGAGAGGCGCAATTTAAAGGAAGAAACACCACGGTGTTATCTCACCAGCCCGGGTGAGATTGGGCTGGACACAGCTGGTGTCCTTCCCAGTTGCTGGTGGGAGCAGGGCCCCTCCGTGCTCAGAGGTGAGGCCTCAAGAAGAGGCTCGCTGCTGTCGCTGTGCTGTGCGAGGCTGACCTAGTTTATCAGTGCTGGTGAGCAGAGGACAGAAGGAAGGGTTTTGTGGCGGCGTGTTGCACCTTGTGCTTCCTGGTCCTCTGCTTTTGTTTTTTTTGGAGACTAAGGCTTGTCCCCATCCCTGCCCGGGCCGCTCAGCTGCTGGCTGTCCTGCTGCACTGGCGATGTTGCAGGGGTCTTGGGTGGCTTGTGTAGCTCAGCGCCGCAGTCATTGCTCACTTCATTCCTTACCCTTCACATCTCAGCGGGAGCTGCGGAGTCCCTCTTAATTACACATGAGCTTGGGGAGAGCCCCCGTCCCCGTGGCCGTGTTTCGCTGTGTTATTAGCACGTGCTTGCTGCTTAATCCTGCAGGGCGGGCAGGGGTGGGAGGCTGGAGGCTTCGGGGCCTGGAGGAGCTGCGCCTGGTGGTGTGCAGTCATCCAGCTTGGCCGAGCACCACGCTGACCCCTGCTCACCTGAGATGACAGCAAAGGCCTCGTGCTGCTTAGGGGTAGCAGGAATTCAGCTGCAGCTTGGCCCAAATGGCTCTGCCTGGTCATTTCTCACCAGGAACGGGTGCTGGAGGGAGCAGCGGCGAGCCAGGGCTTAGGGCATTGCACCTGGTACCTCAATTTTTAAGAAAACCCTGGTGAGAGGAAGCAGAGCTGATGGCTTTCTGCTGCTGGATGTGCCGGGGGATCCTGGGGTGAGGGCAGTCCTGCTGTGCAGCAGCACCAGGCTGGGGGGCCTGGTGCTCCCCTGGAGCTAGGTTGGATGCAAGGTCCCCGTTCCTCTGGTCTCAGCCTGGTGGATCGCTGTGTGGTCACTCGTTTTGGTGTGACGCTCCCTCTGGGCTTACCAAGTAGGAAGGGAGAAGGCCAGAAATGAGCAGCGACATCTCCCAGAGGATTTCTGGAGCTTCTTCAGCAGGGCTGTCAGGGGAAACCCTCCTGCAGGGACAGTCAGCGGCCGTGGGACAGGCAGGAGAAGGGGACAGGCCAACGTGGAAAGCAGCAGGTGACTGGTTTCCTTAAGGAAGAGCTCTGCTCTTGGCCACAGCAGTCAGCTGCTGCTTTGCACCTTGGCCGGAGAGCCTCACCTGCCCCGCTGGAGATGCCACAGGGAAGCCCTGTGCTCTGCTGCGTGCCACGAGCCTCGTCCGGACCGCAGCGCGCAGGGGGATGTTACCACTGTGTAGGTTCCTGAGTTGTCCATCTGTTTCATCGTTGTATTGTTTGGGTTCTATTTTTTTTTTTTTGTTATGAAGACATTAAGTGTAAATAGCCTTTTTTTTTTTTTTATTTTGGAACAAACTGCAACGTGCTCGACCTCGTCAACTATTTTATGGTACTAATGCAACACTAATAAAACTGGACATGAAAGCACATACCCGTCCCTTGAGTCATCTCTCGGCAGGGGCTGTTCTGGGGCAGTTGTCTCTGGTAGGAAATGCTCCTGGAGGCTGCTGCCAGCAGCTGGTCCCTTAAGGCAAGGTGTCGAGCTCCCATCATGGCCAGATTTCTTCCATCCTGAGTGTGGGGTGGGAGATGGGGGGAACTGGGCTCTGGGTTTTCTTCTGGAGCCATGTGGGAGACGGAGCAGTGAGGTGCTGCAGTGTGTTGTACAGGGAGCTGTGAGCAGGACCACGGTGTGCTTTGTTCAACTTCTCACCACTGCTGTAAGGAAGAGGAGAGAGAAGAGATGGTCAGGGCAGCCTTCCCAGGCATCACCTCCTGTGCATGAGCAGGCTGGGAATGCCCTCAGCTCCTCCGGGACAGCAGGTCTCACCGCCCCCAAGGGGTCTTAGCTACAGGAAATCCAATTTTGAACAACAGTCGTGGTTTTTTTTTCTTGCATTGTATCTCCAGCTGCCCAGCAGAGCTGGTGGAGCAGCACATCCTCTCCCAACAGCACTGTCCTCTCCTGGTTTTTGCAGCCCTGCCGCCCTCTCCCCTTCAGGAGAGCAGAGGACCAGCCCCCCAACACCAGGGAGCAGGACATCTCTCGTGTCTTCTGCAAGGGAAGAGAGGTGCAAAGGGAATTTGAAGGGCTGACCTTTGGGTCCTGGTCCCTCAGGGAACTCAGCAGGAGTGGAGAGGGCTGTGCTGGGAGCAGGGAGCAGCAGAGCGGGGTGATGAGCAAGAGGGGAATGGAGCTGGGTGTAGCGAGGATGGGTCAGGGTCAGGGTGTGCCCGCTCGCATGCAATAGGCACAGAAATCTGCCCTCGCCCACGTGTGCTGGGATGAGCTGATTTGGGCCAGGCGGCCTCTGACCGGGCTCTGGAAGCGCCGGCATCTTCTTTTTGCAGGTCTCAGCCTTTCCCTGTGGATGTGCTTCCTCGGTGCCGCACGAAAGGCATCAAATGCAAGAAACGCCCCATCAAAACATCCCGAGGGCTTTCTGGAAGGCCTGCGTTTGCCATGGGGAGAGCTGGTGACACCCCCAGGACCAGGCTTTGGAGGAGGGAGACTGGGCTTTGACCATCCCACTCCTTCCCCGGCTGCGTCTGCCGGAGCCAGCTGCCCTCCTGCCGTTGCACAAGGCCCCGGTGGTGACCACAGCCATTGCTCAACGTGGAAGAGGAGCAGCAGGGAAGTCCTGACATGTTTTTGTTGCTATCGTTTAAAAACCCATTTAGCGTCTGGCAAGAGCAGTCAACACCACATGACTGGCCACTTCTTGGTGTGCAACCACCAAGTGCCCCATGATGCGATTTGTAAATATTTATTCTGGATAATTTTTCTGTGTCCTACTGAATTATTTTCCGCTCGGCGGAGCAGTGGCGGCAGCAGCCGGTCCCTGCATGCGGCACGGATGGCGGTGTCCGCAGCGGCTCCATGGGCACAGCTCAGAAAGGAGGGAATATCGCGGTGGTACCCTCCATGAAGTGAATGTTTTTGGATTTTCACTGCCAGCTGGGCTTTCCTGGCTCACTCCTTGCAATACCGGGAAGGTGGAGGCATGGCCTACTGGGATGTGGGGCCTGATGGGGATTTTGGCACCTCTGGGTGCTATGTTGAATATGACCGTGCCACCTGTGGGCCCTGCCTGAGCACGGTAGGGCCTGGGGCTGGGACCGTGCTCAGCACCAGGCGCTTCCACAGCGCCGGGTCGGGGCTCGCTGCCTGGCCTGGGCCTGGCATGTGGGACGTCAGCCTCGTCACCCTCACGGGGAGCGAAAGGCCTGGTGGTTTTGGCTGGGTGTGAGCACTGGTGGTGGGTGTGTGGGTGAGGATTGTGTGTGAGCACAGGCGGTGTGTGTGTGTGTGAGGGCTGTGTGAGCACAGGTGATACATGTGAGTGTGAAGAGGGCTGGGTGTAAGCACAAGTGATATATGTGTGTGTGAGGGGTGGGTGTGCACACAGATGGTATATGTGTGCGTGTGAGGGCTGGGTGTGAGCACAGGCAGTGTGTGTGTGTGTGTGAGAGCTGGGTGTGCACACAGGTGATATATGTGCGTGTGAAGGGGACTGGCTGTGCTCACAAGTGGTATACGTGTGCCCATGTGAGGGCTGGGTGTGCACACAGATGTTTTGTGTGTGTGAGGGCTGGGTGTGAGCTCAGGTCCTATACGTGTGTGTGAGGAGGGCTGGGTGTGCGTACAGGTTGTGTGTATGTGTGTGAGGGCTGAGCGTGCACACAGGTTATATATATGTGTGTGTGTGAGGGCTGGGTGTGCACACAAGTAGTGTATGTGTCCGTGTGAGGGCCGGGTGTGCACACAGGTGGTCTGTGTGCGTGTGAGGCGGGCTGGGTGTGCGTGTGCCCGCCTGAGGCGGGCTGTGTGAGGCCGGGCGGGCTGTGTGTGTGTATAGATGTGTGTGTGCATGTGTGAGGTGGGCCGTGTGTGTGTAAGGCGGGCTGTGAGTGTGTGTTTGTCTGTGTGTGTGTGTGGTGTCTCTGTGTGTGTGCCCCGCGCTCCGCCCTCCCCCTCCATCCTCCCGCAGGCCTCTCCCCTCCCTCCCTCCCTGCCGTCCTTCCCCTTCCCCTCCCTCTCCCCGCCGCCGCCGTGCCCCTGCCCTCCCTCTTTCCTCCCTCCTTCCCTCCCGGTGCCTCCTCCCTCCTCTCCCCTCCTCTCCCTCCCTCCCTCCCCCGGCGGCGCGGCCCCTTTAACTCTGCGCTCCCCTCCCCCGCCCGCCCCAGCCTCCATTTTCCAGCGGCTCCGGCACCTGGAGGCGGCGGCGGCCCGCAGCCGGCCATGGCCGCCAACATGTACCGGGTCGGAGGTGAGCGGCCCCCGCCGCCCTCCCGCGGCTCCTGCGGGGCCGGGACACGCGTGGGGGGCCCGGGGGGGAGCCGCGGGGGCACGGCCGGGGATGGGGGCGGGCTGCGGGGGGTCGGGGCGCGGGGGGAGGCGAGCACAAAGATGGGCAGGCTGCTGGGGGGCTGCCCCCCTTCCCTTGCCTTCCCTTCCTTCCCTTGCCTTCCCTTCCCTTCCCTTGCCTTCCCTTGCCTTCCCTTGCCTTCCCTTGCCTTCCCTTCCCTTCCCTTCCCTTCCCTTCCCTTCCCTTCCCTTCCTTCCTTCCCTTCCCTTCCCTTCCCTTCCCCCTGCCTCTCTCCCCTCCCTGCCCGCTCTCCCATTCCTCTCCCCCCCTCCCCTGATTGCCCTTTGTTTTAACTCACGGCAACGCAGAGGAGAGGCAACAGGGCCCCGGCGGGTGGATTTGATTTTATTTTATTTTATGGAAGATAAACACGCAGGGTGGTCTGGCGGGGAGCTCTGCGCTCAGCCATTTTCCCTTCGCAGAAAGTGTGCGCCGCAACTTCTCACCCCCCCCCCCCCCCCCAGGAGCTGCCTTTGGGGAGATGCTTTTTGGGGTCCCCCCTCCCCGTCCCCAGACACCCCTCGTCTTTCAGAGTTTGGTGAAACCAGAGCGAAGTGAGCGAGGGAGGCGACACAGCCGGGGCGGCCAAGCCACCCTGCCTGGCTGCCACTACTTTTCTGCTTCCTCGGCCTGCCCTCACTTTGTGCTCTGGGATTTTTTGCTCCTTTTGGCACAGCCATACTTTTTTTTTTTTTTTTTTTTTCCTGCTTCTTGGTGCCGTGGAGGGCCGAGATGTGCCTCTGGGCCGTCCCGGCTTTGTTTCTTGGAGGGTCTGAGGCTGGTGTGCGGTGCCTTGTGGTGGTGGCTGGGGGATGCTGAGAGCGGCAGGGCGAGGGGAGCTGGGGGAATTCAGGGCTGTTTAGTGTCACGGCACCATTCTCGCATGGGATGCCGTCCCTGGTGCCCTGCACGGCCAGGTCTGCGGTGGGCAGGGATCTCTGCAGGCCGCTAGGCCACCTGCTGCTGCTGCAGGCTGGCCTGGAGGATGCTCGGGGCCTGCCCGCCCCGTGGTGGCATCCCGGAGGACCACGGTGCAGGGATGGCATCCTTCCCTTGGGCCCTGCCCAAAGTGTTTGGCCACAGCGCCCAGACACCAGGGAAAACTTCCTGGTGTCGCAGCTGGCGTCCCTCATCCCTCATCCTCTCCCTGTGCCCCCTGAAGAGAGCCCTGCCCTGCCAGCCCTGTGCCCTAGCTGTGACAGCAGTGACATCCCCGCTGGGCCAGCACTGCCCACCCCGCTGCCTCCTGTGTGTCCCTGTGCTGCTCCCAGCTCCCCAGGTGGCCTTCCCAGCGCTGAGCAGCGGGGCAGGACCCATCCCTTCACCCCACTGGTGCAGCACAGGGGGATGTTGGCCACCTTTGCTGCGAGGGTGCGTGCTGGCTCTTGGGTACCCTGTTGTTTCTCCAGTTGTTTTTCGGCAGAGAAGCTCTGCAGTCAGCCTGTGGCGCTGCGGGGAGTTATCCCATCCCAGCTGCAGGACTTTGCTTAGCCTTAGCTGAACTTCCTGAGGTGCTTGTCAGCCCGTTTCCTGGCTTGTCAAAGTTCCCCTGAGTAGCAGCCCTGCCCACAAGTGTGTGGCATGCTTTTCCTGGCTCCCCAAACTTTTGGTGAGCATGTTCCAGTCCCAATCCGTCACAAAACATCCACAGCTGGCCTCGTGTCGGTGCCGAGGGATGCTGTTAGCAGCCAGGTGAAGGCTGTGCTGCTGCTCGCAGCCCTCTGAGCCCGGTGTTCATCTGGTGAGCCTCCTAATCTGCTGCCCAGTGCGTATCCAGCTTGCTGCCCAGCCCTTATCTCAGCATTTTGGTTCGAAGGCTCCCATGGGGGGCTACGAGGCCTTTGCCACGAGCCACTTCCAACACCCCTGCTCTCTCCTTAGCCACACAGCCAGTCTTTGCATCACAGTGGTGAGTCGGATCAGTCGGGCATGATTTCCCTTTGGTATTTTGCCTGGTCTCAGTCACCTCGGTGTGCCTGGGAGCAGCATCCAGGCCTTGCTCCGAAACCTTCCCAGGCAGAGGGCAAGGCAGCTGGCCGGTGGCCAGGGTTACTGCGCTC